GCAAGGATAAAATCTGTAGAAGATAAAATATACAATAATAAAACATAACAAGATTCAAACAACTGTTGAATTAAAACACAAAATAGAAACAACAACCACCAAAATGTCTGAGAATGGCTGCAGGACGGACGGGAAGAAATAAAATCAGCAATGAAGACATAAGAGAAAAAGTCAACACAGAATCAACTCTAAATTAAATACAAAGACAGCAAATCAAATGGTTTGCCCACTTAAGAGAGAATGCCTTACGACATTATACCATAAAAGGTGTACTTCAAAAGAGGAGAGGGATGCAGAGCAAGGGGCAGACCAAGAACAACATGGAAAGATAACATCAGACTAACTCTACGACCGCACAATGTGTCTATGGTTGAGCAAGAACTAGAGCCTTATATCTCCCTCGACACCTGATACGGTACAAGAAGTCAAGAAGATAGAAAGAGAACATAAATACTTGTGATACAACCAGTGTTCCTGTAAAGATGTTTATGACAAGGTGACTACCAGCACAGGGCAGAGAGCCTTAAGCATGGCTAGACACAAATGGATATCCTATTTATGCACTGCAACTAGACTTATCTTCAGACATGTCAATTTGTCAAAACTTGGTGTGGATTCAGGCAAGAGTGTGAGGTCAACAGCTACACAACTCACTAAAATCCAGTTAGTCATTCGTGTCAACCTTTTATTCTTTCGTTCATTCCACCCAAAATCTACCACAAGCAGATGAATGGACTAGTATTCATCACGTGTGAGTGAAGAACAAGAAGAAGGAAATAAAATTGTAAAACATCATCCGAATTCATGTTAAAAAAAATTTTTTTTACATTTGAAATACATTCAGTGCAATACCTTAAAGATATTAAATACCTTCAATATTCCTATTGATGTCTGTAGAAACAAACAATCATTATTTCTTGTTCAGAACACCAACATTATAATTCGATGTCTCAGGGCAATAACCACTTTACATAAATATTCACACTTCCATTCCAAATATAAAATCCTCATGCCCAGGTGTCATCATTATACATGCAGATGGGTGTGTACTGAGAGGTGACAGGAGTGGGTGGGGTTTTATTCCAAAGGACTTTACTTTTAAGGAGTCATATGATGGAGGACTTTGTGTTACAATAGTATTTTATATGAATAAATGAATGAACCTAGAATTGACATCACTTCACTCCGGACATTCTAACACGTGCTCCATCCCCTTCTCCAGTAGCCAATGAAGAGTCAACATTCTATTAGTACCAGCTGCAGCCTGATTAAAAGTCCACCTCTGTTTCCCTCTCAGTGTTAAATATCTTCCAGAACCTTTCCTCCCTCTTCCCCCTCCCTCCACCCCATCCTTTTTTAATTAATCTTTAAGTGCATGGATTCTTTGTCTGCTCTATTGCACTGTCCATTTGATCTCAGATAGCCTTCACCACATTTGCTTTATCCTTAAGTAGCTCACTGCCCAGAGGAGCAGCAGCAGTTAATCTGTCAGCCTGCTTGTTACCTTACACAACTGGCTGTCCTGGACAGAAAATCCATAATATGCCCCTAATATGAGTCTTATCAAGTGATGCAAGCCACTCTGCGCACATGACACCAGTTTTAATTTCTGAAGCATCCTGTACATCCATGTTCACATGTGAATGGAGCCACATCCACACTCAATTGTCCCATAAATCAATCCCACACGCCCAGCCTCATATATCAGTGACACTAACTATATTCATTATCACCATTCAATTCTGTCAAATATCTGTTTGCAGGAGCAACCATGAATGTAGTTATGTCCTGTCCATTACACAAACATACAACACCGTAAACAACACACCACACTAAACAAAAGCAGTAAATATAGCACAAGATGCTAGGCTTATGTATCTTCTTCCTCCTCAGGTTCACCGGCTGTAAACTCTGGTGGAAAGTTCTGGCTGTTCAACCACTTCTCAAGCACAGTCCTGTTCCAGAACTTGAATGTTGCACGCACATCCATTTTAAGGATCCGACTTATCTGTATACAGACTGTTGGTTCCTTGCCTCTCAGGCAGATACAATCTGACTTCCAAGGAAGATCTCAGTTAGTCGACTCTTACAGCATGCTTTTTGGTAGGCAATGGATCTATTCTTTTTTCCCTCTTTAATAGGGCCCTGGAACCCACACAGGGAGCTAGACTTTTACTGTTAAAAACCAGCCGGCATTTGGTGGGGGCCACTTGTTAACGATCATGTCACGCCATTGACCTTTATTTTCCAGGACATTACATCCTGCCCATTCAAGGCTGGGTCAACCTGTGAGCCAAGGTTAATGCTGACAATAATCAACTGCAATGCAGTTTTGAACTCAAGATCTTCAGGCCGGCAGATAAGCATCTAGCCACTAGGCTATACCTGCTCTCACAGCACGACCACATGATATAAACATTTGTTTTCTTGTATACACACTATTTATTGTCAAATGAAGCTTTCCAAAATATGACTGTAAAAATACTACAAACACCCTTATTAAGAAACTGGGCATATGCTGCTAGGCCAATATTTTTATAGACCAACTGGCACTCTGGTCATCTTTACTTCCCAGGATATTTCCAGGTACTCACTTTAGGTTGGGCTGACCTGAGAGCCCTAGGTTAATATAAAAATCCACCTCATTGCAGATTTAAACCAAAGAATTTCAGGTCAGCATGAGAGCATTTAGTCAAGTTCTTTCTCATTTTTTAAAACATTTCCCAACCATTTTTTAATCTGTGTTTAAAAAGCTGGGTCATCTCCAAACCCATTCTTAATTCAAGAAAACTCATGCCTCCACTGGGGATTGAACCCAATCAGCAGTGTCAGTAAGCAAGCAAACCTGCCATTATGTCACTCCTGTTATTTTAAACAATACAAGACAACAGAATAGAATAATGTACCCAGGAAACTAATGATACAACCTATCAAAACTGAAGTCAAGGGCCTCTCTCACAACTGAGCTGCATTGGTTATGCAGTGCTAGAGCACAGAAGGATGTAGTTTCTGTGCGCGTTTTGTTTTTTGTTTTTGTTTTACTGGGGAGGAGGACCTAGGCTGCTGCACTTTCTCATGGGACGTTAGTGGGTTGGGGTTGCGGCAAGTTGTAGATTTATTTTGGCCGGGGAGGCAGGAAAGGGGGGGGGGGGGGGGGGGGGGATGTTGCTGTTTTGCAATTTGTTTGTGTGAAACTGTGCAATCGGACAATTGCCAATAGGGGTACTGTGGGGGGGGGGGTGGGGGGGGGGGGGGGGAGGGGGCATAAAAAGGGCCAATACACACAACAGATTGAAACAAACAAACAGGACTGTAAAAGTGAAGGGATATCCTTTTATCTGCAGTTAGGCACTGCAACATGAAAAAAATTTACAAACAGTTACTAAATAAACTTAATGACCAATTTCAATCTCAGTAGGTATGACAGATATATCCATTCTTGACTCTCTGACATCTTCCCCCAACAATTCATGGAGGTATCTAGAGGAATACCAGAATACGTGAGACCAAAATCTCCTCACAGTCCTTATTGTCATGATCCTGTTTGGGACTGGGGATCTAAATGAAAAGTAAATTCCCAGCATTCATGCTTTCAACACATGATAGCCAAGTCTCAAAGTCGAGAGGACTGATTTCACTGTACCTGGTTGTATCCTATATGGCTCAGTCTCTCTCCACAGAACGGCTAGCCCCCTCCCCACCCCCTTCGATCACTAGAGATCTCTGTAATAATTGCACTCATGAAATGAATGGTGCAGCCGTAAAACAAACCCACAACCTTCACAGTGCAAGGCATATGGCTAGATCATTTGGCCACCGAGACCCCCTGTGTCAAGGCTGACCCAGGTCTTTGTGGTCAGTTTGGAATGAACTATCCAGATAGGTGGTCAAACAATGGACTCGGTGCCAAGAGATGATATATGTCTAATGCCACACAAGAGACCATTTTGCTGATCATGTTAGTATTTAATAAAGTTCATTTACAAACTGTTTCTAGCTGCATCTTTAAAAAGGTGCTAACATAAAAAAGTAACAGTTATAGAATTATGACACTGCTCTCTTCTGAGTACTTCATCTGTGATTCAAGTGTTTACTGTGAAATGTAAGACAATTTGTTCTCATCTGATGACATCAGATGGGTTCATACTGTCTGAGTATTTTAAAAATAGAAGCATCGAGCAGCACTTATTGAACTAACATCAAGCCTGTAACAACAAGTAAGTTAGTAAGCTTATGGTGTTAGAGAGATAAAGCAGCTCACACAAGTTAAAACCGGACCATCTCTTTTACACACAGAGCACCTCGCTCCATGACACTTATCTTGTGATACTGTTTATTATGTCTATTTAGCCTTTTGCTGGCTTGAGAATCAGCTGTACACACATGCTGTGATTGTAACTGATTCACAGAGCATACTCCATGCAGAGTGGCAAGCATCACTTTCAGAGGTCCTGGGTAGTTAGCAACCTTTGGATATTTTCTCCAGGTTATGTAGATGCGCTGGGAAATAAGCATGCACACAAACTGGCTTGTGTTGCACCACCTGACGGTGAATTGATGTATGACAAGCTGGATGTTGTGAGGGCCCTTTGGGAGTGACTGATCAGTGTGGAGGCACACATAGGTCATCACGGTCTGAGGAGAATGGCGCTGCGAGGAGTTCCTAGGGGATCTGGCCGATGCTGAACACTCAGGGAAAAAGCGAGACGAATTTACAATCAGACAGTTACCGTTACATCGGGATTGTAAATCTTCGCTTGTTGCTGAAGATGGGAACGGAGCACTTATGGCAGTGTCCCAAGTGCAATGATGTTGATCTCTAATTCAACATTCAACTTTATAGTCTTCTCTCCTGTGAACTACAAAGTATTTTTTTGCAACCAAACATTCTCTTGAACAGATGTATCTTTTCCAAACACTGACCCTCTGACTTGCCTTTCTGATACACAGAAACATGTGAAAATTTGCATCACATCTGTGACAAACAGAAGAAAGCAAGGCTATCTAAATGTCACTTTGACTGTTTTGATCTCCATGGTTTTCAAATCTAGAACAAGTTTAGACAAAGGAGCAATCTCCTTCACTCCAGTCAGGCTGGTCAACCTGGCAGATGCTATGTGAATCTTGGTAAAGGACTTCAAAAGCAGTGTTTCCTGTCAAGTAGAAACAAGTTAACGGAAATGTTAGCATCATAAACATTATATTTGTTTGGCACTTAATCCCCCATAGAGCCTAGGCTATCGACTAGCTTGCACCATTATAATTTAAAGATGTATCAAAGATGCAAGCATTTCTAGTTTACTGATGATGTTGTTTTGCACATATACTTAAAGTAACTGCTAGAAACAATATGTTGAGTTGAATTGAGTCAAGAATTGACATCACAGCACTCAGGGCATTCCCATGCATGCTCCATCCTCATCTTCAGCAGCCAGCGCAGAGTTCCAATACTGATGGTACCGGTCACAATCTGGTTATATGTCTGTCTTGCCTATCCTCTGAGTGTAGTGAGCCGGCAAGACCCTCTGGTTACACCCAGGTGCCTGATTCTCTCAAGGCCATAATAATCTTCTTTCTCTACTGATTCTGTTGCTTGTTCCCAAAGGGCCTTGACCACATCTGCCTTGTCACGTATCAATTTACCACCCAGTGGTGCAAATCCAGCCAATCTGTCTGCCTGTTCATTACCCACTACGCTGGATGGCCCTGAGAAAAGATCCAAAGTATGCTCACTACCCGTGACCTTCCAGTGAAGCTCGCCACTCTGCTTGAAGAATCCCTGTCTTAACCTTTCTCAGCATGCTTTTAAAGTTTGTTACTAGACATAATATCTTACAATATATAAAATATTTAAAGTAACAACAAAGCCATCTGTATGGCACTTTGTGTCATCGGGTGTTTACCGCTTGTGTGATGTCCTAGTGGGGTAGAAAGTCAGTCAATGCCATCTGTATCCAAATAGGAAATGTAAACAAAATGTTAGGGTGCATCACTCATAATGTCTCAGTGACACAGTCTGACAGCTGATCTTCTGCACTATTGGGTCAATCTTTTCTAGTATTAACCAGCTGTAAACTCTGGCAGACAGCTCTAGTTGTTTGTCCACTTCTGGGCTTTGGTCTTCCTCCAGAACTTCAGTTTTATGCACATCTGTTTTACAGATCAGTCTTAAATGTATGCAGAGTTTAGATTTGTCAACACTCAGGCAGATGCACCCCGGCTTTGAAAGAAAAGCCCCATATTAACAGATTTTTATGACATGCTTGCTGGGGAAAAGGGGGGGGGGGGGGGGGGGGGGTAGGTCTATTCTTCTCTCCACTCCCCCCCCCCCCCCCCCCAACCCAATAGAGCCCCAGAATCAACACAGGAAATCCTGCTAATTGAATGAGCATTTTCTCATTGTTCTTTTCTTCTGTACTTGCCTTAAAAGAGCAGCTGACATGTGATGATATGATGTTGTGCTTTGCAGCTGACATGTGATGACATGATGTTGTGCTTTGCAGCTGACATGTGATGACATGATGTTGTGCTTTGCAGCTGACATGTGATGATATGATGTTGTGCTTTGCAGCTGGGCAGTGATATCTGCACCTTTCAGCCCAACACATTCAATGTTGAGCAAATCCCTAACTGATTGCCTTTACTACATGTGGGGTAGTGGCTCCCAAAGTGAGGTCCTGGAACACATACAGGGATTGCCCTGTCTATCAAACATCAATGTTCTTGGCCAGCACCACACACTTACATTGATGCAAATGGTGGAACAGGGTCACGCACTTGGAAAATGTTTTGTTAGCTATAGCTGTGATGGCTTGTGGGCTCAAAGATCTTGGTTTCAAATTTGCACTAGGCAGATTTTAAAAAAAATTAACCTTAGAAAACATGGGTATTAGGAAATGTGTTGGCAAAATGCCGAAAAGTACTTGGTGCACTTAAGGTTATGGCAGCAATGGATATGGAACAAAGAATGTTGTTCCCAACGTTCCAGCATTTGATCCTGTCAGTGATAGATTATGGACCTGGAATGTCTGCCATATTAAAGTGTTGTGATGAAATTTGAATGCATACAGAACGAAGCCATGCAGGTATTTCTGGGATGTAAAAGAGATACCCCAGTAGTATGTATGTGATGTACAGATAGGCTCAAAGTCATATCTCAGAGTGGCCGCAGATAAGAAACACCTCCTGTATGAAGCCCTAGACAGAGCTAAAGGTCACAGACTGAAAAGAGGAAGGTCTTGTATGGCACCAGTTAAGACACAATTAGACATGTGTGTAGGCTTGATAACATTGGGCAAGGAGAGCAATGGGTCAGAATGTCCCTGCAAAAGTCAGACTTGTGTACGGTTCTGATCACACTGGTCCGTGAGTGCAGGGTCTGGCCAGCTGGTGCTGCAGAATCAGAAGTTCAACATGACAATTCTCGCCCAGGTGATGTGATAATCTTGACAGATGTAGCTCTAGGGGTTCTTAGCAAAAGTAAATGACATCACTTAGTGCAACATATCCTGGCATCAGGCACAACATCTAGTTTGAGAACAGAGGTGGAGATAGTCACTGCAGCCTTTCGCTGACTTGAGAATCAGCTGTACACAGATGTCATAATTGTAACCGACTCAAGAAGCATTTGAGAAAGTGTAGACCGGTATGCTCTATGAAGAATGGCAAGCATCGTTTCAAAGGTCCCAGGTAGTTTTTGTTCTTGTTTATATTTTCCACAGGGAATGCCGGTGTATATGAAATGAACATGCAGATAGACTGGCTGATTCTGCACAACTTGGTGGTGAATTGATGCATGAAAAATTAGATGTTGTAACCACCCTTTGGGGGGTGAGTGAACAGTGCGCATGTACATATAGATCATCATGGTCTGAAGAGAATGATGCTGCAAGGAATAGTGACCAGGGGATCTGGGCGATGATCAGCACTCAGGGGAAAGGTGAAATGGATATACAATCAGACTGCAATTGGTACCACTGGAACTGGAACTCTGCACTTGGTACTGAAGGTGGGGACAGAGCGCTTATGGGAATGTCTCGAGTGCTGTGATATCGATTCTTCTTTCAATATTAAACTCCTAAAACAGAGCCCTGGAGCCCACACTGGGAATGTTCAGCTGTGTACAGTAGCTTCAGACACTCGCTCATGCAGTTCTAGTACAAAATATACTTTGGTTTCAACAGAATTTGGCATACTTACATTAACGTTACAATTCTGGTAGACCTGGTGGTAACTGCAGTCCAACCCGACTCTGTGCAGCAGAATGAGTGCCTGGTAATCTGCTGCCTCAAGGCCCAGATTTCTGATGTTCAGTAAATGATAGGAACATGGCCAGGGTTCTTTAAGGAATCTGGCTTCAGCTAAGAATGTTCTACGGATGTTTGAAATAACAGCCACCTGAGGTGGGTTGTTCACATGTGATGACAGCAAATGGGCCAGCAGTGAAGGATAGCATGCTTGCTCTTCTGACTGTCAAACATAAATGAAAACAATTGTGACAATAGCTCAGTTAAACAGTTAAACAATTATGGACCCTTTTCAGGCCAGTGGCCCAATAGGTATATACTGATAGACTAATATTTTGTGTATAGACCAATCAGAACTTGATGGGTCATGTGGTCTAACAACATGCCAGCCACTTGTGTACCATGTACCCACTTTAGGCTGGGCCCACCTGGAACACAAGGTGCAGATACAAATCCAAAACCTTTGGGTCGGCAGGTGAGCACTAGTCCAATATATTCTTGCAGCTCCACCCTGTGACAACGTGAAGCAGCCATACTTTGAATTGTTACAACTATAGTCTGTCCTGATGACCCTACTCATAAATATAATGTTGAATTAAGAATCAACATCACAGCACTCGGGACACCCCCATAAGCGCTCTGTCCTCATCTTCAGCAGCAAGCAAAGAGTTAAAATTCCAATGGTACCAGTAACTGTCTGTATATCCGTCTCGCCTTTCCCCTGAGTGTCAAGCTTATAAATACTCACATACAACAACAAATTATCATCCCTGTGAATTCCTTACACTTACTAATTCAAGAAAAAACTTCTAGAATGTAACAAACATTTTAATTCATTATGAACTAACAGGTCAGAAATTGGCCTGTAAACGGCAACATCTCTTACCTGGACAACAGCATCTCTTCTTTCAGGAAGCAATATAAATTTGCTGGGACTAGGAACATTATCATGAGCTGCCTCTTTCAGCCCTCTCCAGTCATCTTGCATAAGTCTCCGATCTAATATAACTTCCAGCGTGCCTGTCAAGAGAATATGAGTCCACACTGTAAAATTAACTAGCAAGCAAAATAATAAATGCTGCTAACACAAAATATTACTCTTCCATTTGTCCCCCACCTGGCCGTGTGGGTTCCAGGGGCCCATTGTTGGGAAAACAAGAATAGACCTACTGCCTTCCCAACAAGCATGTCGTAGGAGTCGACTGGGGACTTCCTTCAAAGTCAGAGTGCATCTGCCCGAGCGACAAGGGACAACCAGCTGCACACAAATAAGCCAGTAAGATGGATGTTCACTCAATACTCAAGCTCTGGCACAAAGCCAAGGTCTTAATGGATGAACAACCATGACTTTTTGCTGGAGCTTATAGCCAGTGAACAAAGAAGAAGTTTGCCACCTTCCTTTCTGCACACAATTCTTATTTTCACACAGCAGCATGGGTTATGCTGGATATTTCATTGTTTTTTAATAGTGTCTGTATCCTAAATCTGTTGAAGCTTCGTGCAAGGACTAAGGTGCACACAAGCCGCCTCAATTAATGTATTTTTTGTGGATGATGCAGCCATTATTGCACACACAGAAGATAATCCACAGATTTTTTATGAATGGCTTCGCAAATGTATTCACAGATTTTAAACTCACCACCTGTCTCAACAAAACATAAGTGATGGGAATGAACGTGGTAAACCAACCAAGCAGTTTTACCATGACCTCTCGGTTGTAGATGAGTTTAAGTATCTAGGCTCTTGAATTACTGATGATCTTTTTCTGGGTCCAGAACTAAACAGATGAACAGAAAAAGCTTATGTAATGCTTTCAAAATGCCAGAGAGTGGTCAACAAAAAGCTGATAGATGAGACTAAATAAATGATGGATAGGACTAAAATCAAAGTTTATTAAATGTGTATCCTGAGCCTGCACTTTGACAACAGCAAAATCTGGACTCCATATGCTCCTAAAGCAAAAAAGAAGACTAAATACTTTCCACATGCGCTGTAGAAGACACATTCTTGGTATATCATGGTGAGACGTTGTCCCTGACAACTGTGTACTTGAAAAGCAGGAATAACAACAATATTCTATTGAAGACACCTGCACAGGTTGAGACATGTCTCTCACATGGAAGAAAGTCGTATTCCAAAGGATCTCCTGTATACTGAATCAGTTCACTGTATAGTGAACTAGATATTGGGCCAAAGAACTGTATAGTGAACTAGATATAGGAACACAGATCTCCTGTATAGTGAACTAGATATAGGGGCAAAAATGTCATGTACAGTGAACTAGATGGAGGGACAAAGATCTCCTGTATTGTGAACTAGATATTGGGCCAAAGATCAGTATAGTGAACTAGATATAGGGACAAAGATCTTCTGTAAAGGAAACTAGATATTGGGCCAAAGATCTCCTGTATAGTGAACTTTATAGGGACAAAGATCTCCTGTATAGTGAACTAGATATAGGGAAAAAGATTTCATGTACAGTGAACTAGATATTGGGCCAAAGATCTCCTGTATAGTGAACTAGATATAGTGTAGTGAATCTCATTTTCTCCTAGATAATTTATGCCTAGACAGAATGACGTCAGTAATAAATGAGAGTGGAGTATTTTGAGTCTAACTGGGACAACACGGGAATTACTGATAGTCTAACTTCACAGGAATTGTAGAGAAATGCTGATAGTCAAACTTCGCGTGAATTATAATTATTCATGTGTAGACAAATGCTGACAGTCAAACTTAATGTGAAGTAATAAGCATGATTATTCGCGGGGGTCACACAAAGTGCCGGCCAAATGGAATTCGTGGGAATGAAGGAACACGGAGAATTCGGAAGTACGAAGAGGGGCATTAGAAGGCTATATAATGCTGTAGAAAGGGCTGGGAGTCAGTCTCGTTTGGGCTCAGGAACGGAGTGCAGGGACAATGGTGGAAGATGTGTGGATCCAACATGTGTTTGAATGTGGGTGTTGTTCCAACATTCAACTTGGCAAAACGAACTTCTGGCAAGATGTCTGCCGGCCGTATTAGTTTTCCACCAGGACAGCTGTTGTGTTTTCGTTCATTATGCTTGTGGTAGGACGATTGTGATTTCAGCTAAAAGGTAACAATGATACTTTTGATATTTGTGTTATAATGTGTGCCTGGACAGTAGTCTATTTCATGTGCCGGCTGAGGAAGCCGCGAGTAGAAGAATAAAGTGCAGAAACAGTCTCGTGTTGTTTTCCAGTCGTCCATTTTCTGCTCGTCGTGTGATGTCGGTGTGTGAAATAGGAATCATGCAATGACGCGAGCCAGATAGAAGACAAAAGAAAGTCATCGCATATAGGGACAAAGATTTCATGTACAGTGAACTAGATATTGGGCCAAAGATCTCCTGTATAGTGAACTAGATTTAGGGACAAAGATTTCATGTACAGTGAACTAGATATTGGGCCAAAGATCTCCTGTATAGTGAGCTAGATACTGGACCAAAGATCTCCTGTATAGTGAACTAGATATAGGGCCAAAGATCTGTATAGTGAGCTTGATAGAGGGACAAAGATCTCCTTTTAGTGAGCTAGATATAGGGATAAAGATCTCCTGTATTGTGAACTAGATATAGCGAGACAAGATTTACAGAAAGACCAAAGATATGCACAGACACTTGGGAGAGATCAGCTGCAGACCAACTCCTATGGAAGCAAACACAAAAGATGGACTGTCAAAGTTTTCAAGAGAAATAATGCAGCAAGCTATAGAGAGGAGACTTCTGAGAACCTCGAAGCCCTGGTCAGTTGTAAACATCAATCTTGATGGAGATTGGAAAGAATGGCCATCAGGCTGGTAGGCTGGCTACTGAATCAACACAAATTCATTGTAGCACATTCAGAAAATATTGATCTAGACTGAAAACTTGACCTCATATGCAGATAGGTTGAAGCATAGGTTGAATAACATTATATATATATATATATTTATATATATATATACACACACACACATAATTATTTATGCCACAGATACAGCGACTCATATACGAAATTAGGTATTATAATAACTAACTAGGTTTCATACACCAACTCATATACCATGTTAGGTATTAGAATAAGTAACCAGGTTTCATACAGACACACAAATACCAAGTTAGGTATTAGAATAACTAGCCAGGTTTCATACAGAAACTCAAATACCAAGTTAGGTATTAGAATAATTAACCAGGTTTCATACAGCAACGCATATACCAAGTTAGGTATTAGAATAACTAGCCAGGTTTCAAACAGCAACTCATATACCAAGTTAGGTATTAGAATAACTAGCCAGGTTTCATACAGCAACTCATATACCAAGTTAGGTATTAGAATAATTAACCAGGTTTCATACAGCAACGCATATACCAAGTTAGGTATTAGAATACCTTACCAGGTTTCATACAGCAACTCATATACCATGTTAGGTATTAGAATAATTAACCAGGTTTCATACAGCAACATATACCAAGTCATGTATTAGAATAACCAGCCAGGTTTCATTCAGCAACTCATATACCAAGTTAGGTATTAGAGTAACTAACCAGGTTTCTATAGCATGATGATTAGGCTACTAAACAGCAGTCACATCGTTTGTTGTCCGGTACACATGGAAAATACCCGATCACATACAACACGTTAGTTTGGGACTGAAAGAGTGACAGCTGAAATAATAATCACTGATTAAACTAATTTTAAAAAAACAAAAAAACAACAACAAAAACCAACCATCATATAGAGAAGCTACACCGTGAGCTTCGGAAGTAATCAGTGTTACACGAGACAACTGGTCATCTGTCAAGTAAGCCATTGAGGTCATAGGGTGGAAGTTTCCTTGAATCAACAACTTGGCTTTCCACTTCTTCCTGTGCATCTGTGGGTCATCAGGAATCAGGGCAGTTGAAACAACAAACAAGAAGATGATGATGATGATGACAATCAACCCCACCAGGACATCACATCCAGCAATAAACACCAGGTGGATGAGGATCACTCGGGGACAGGTCCCAGAAACCCAGTTCAACCTATAGGTTGGGTTATAATAGGGCCACAGGCAATGGAAAGAGTGGGGATTTAAAACCACCAAACAAAACTGTCTGACATTAGATCACAGGCTGTCTTTTTCAACAAACAAGAACACTTTTCGAAGCAAATATTTCTGACAGCAGGAGTATACAAGTTTGGTACCCAAAGCTAGGATTAAATGTATCAAGAAGAATACATCACAGATCAAACACTAAGTGTAGTTCTTCTTCTTCTTCGTTCACCAGCTGCGAATTCCGGCGGAAGGTCCCGGTTAATTGTCCGCATGGACTTTTGGCTTTTACCTGGACCTGAGTTTTACATGTACAACCGTTTTACTGGCTTTTGCCGTTTCCTGTCTTACGGGCAGATGTACTCCGATTTGGAGGGAAGACGTCAGGCCTATTTCTAGGATGACTGTGGCCATTGTTTTGTGTGGGTGGAGATGTTACCTTATTTGTGTGGTGTCCTCTTTGTCCCTTTCTCCACAGGTGTTGCCCCAGGAGTACCCCTTTTGGGGCAGACCTGTGTGGAACGGTTGGCCCTCAACGAAAGGCAGGGGCAGATGATGGGCATTCCCCACCATCCAAGGAGGCTTCCATAAATGTACAACCGTCACATAACGCTTTGGTTCTGGGCTCACCCAAGGAATCGTCACGTCCTGCACATAACTGTTTAACCTCACAACCATATTAGGCTTCCCGCTCGACATGGGCTGTGCCCTCCTGAGATCAGCGGGGAGCAGCCCGTGGATTCTGGACTTTTGTGACCACACGAATAGGTACAATCTTTTTCGTCGCACGATTGTCATCTTTAGCGTGCCGTTAGCACGACAGAATAGAGAATCATGCATCAGGCATGTCTTTATCTGTTTGGTCCCAACACTCAGGCGAGAGGGGTCTCTGGATGTGGAAATTTGGACCTTTCCCCAATCAATACGATTTATGATGGTCGGATTTTGAGCTCGCTCGTGTGCCGTAGGATCTATTTTTGTCAGACATTTGGGCTTAACCAGCCGATGGATGGTTGCTGTCTTGGTGTACCTCAGTGCGGTGGCGACGACACTGAGAGTTGACAGAGGATGTACATGGGTAGAATCTTGCAGCGAGGCGCCACCCACAGGAGATGTTACTCGTCTGTGCTGCGGGTAAATCTCTAGGTCAAGGGTTGAGTCTCAGCAACACATTCTCTTCACCCCACAAACTTTTAACCAAAGGTTTTCATTTTAAATGTACATTTGGCAAGCACTTTACTCATGTTCCTAATGAGTTTTGATAAGCTTTTTCACCCATGCCTTTGGGGGCGGGCTGATGAGAGCCACAAGGACACTACACCTCTGGGCGCCGCCAAACTCCGATATCCCCTGACAGCTCTGTTAATGCTCATCTGAGACATTATCCGTGGCGCATGACGAAGACGTGCTGCAGGAGTCTTGCGTGAGGTTCCGTAAAACCAGAAGAGTGCAGGACTGGCGCCCGAATGACGTACGGAGTAACTCCTTATACACATCACGTTGGGCTTAACTTTACCTCACGCTTGTGACAGAAACCACTGCGCCACCTACTAAGTGTAGTAACAAAAGTAGCAAAGGACTCTTTTTTTAGCATTTCCACACTGACCATATGGTGCTAGACCCATTTTTGTAAAAGGCCAACCATCGTTTGATGCATGTATGATACGGTCAACATCAGGCCAGCGACTTTTACTTCTCTAGTCATTTCTAGAACGAGTTTTAGGCTGAGTCGACATGGGTGCTTAAGTCAGCTGAAAAAAATCTGCCTCCATGTGCATTCAAACCCTAGGCTTGTGGGTAGCCACTGCATTACAACTGACAACACTCTCTAACAACACTGTTCTTTCATTTCTTGATGTTTTCCAACCATGTGTATCATTGTCTACTTCCTGCTCACCTACTTTCCACTTGAACATCAGATAATGAGCATGGCCACAAGTTAACTGTCCTCTATACAACATAAAAACAGCATGTATGGACATAACATTTGATGTGGTTAAGAGGTTTATAAGAGGCATTATAGAGCCCAACGGGAACATGAGCACCCAGGGCACAAGAAAGACAATGTATGCTACCAGCCTGACTGTTGACAACAACAGTAGTGATCTCCAACCCCACACAGAATACAACAGACTGAAGTGACACTTCAATAAATTAAAGATGGGAAACACTGATGAATGAATATGGAGACATGCTAACAAGACAGCTAAACATCTCTTGCACAAGTATCCAATCATTTGTAGAATAGAGAAACAGATTTGAGGACAAACTCTACTAAGATGTTACTCTCAGGCTGAAAAAAAGAGAGGAAGAAAAAGAAGAAAGAGTCAAAACATACTGCAGAGAATCATGGTTACCTGAAAGCCATTGAGATCAACACAGAGGCTTGTGTCCGGGGAGACCACGTCTGTGATGACTCTCATAGCCAGCTCCTTGTTTGCCCACTCCTCTGAGGCAATGTCTACTAGGTTGTCTATATGCACACCAGTACCCACTGGGCCTGCCAGACAATGTTGACTTACAATAACACATGAAGTAAAGTACCTTTTCACACATTTAACACATTCAGGCATATATTGATAGGCCTATATGATACTTATCACGATCTTGCCCGCACAGCGAAAGTTCCTTCCCTCATGCTGCAGTCAGTCATATGGCCTGTTATATGTTGTGGGGATGTCATGTATTCCTTATTTTCAATGGGTTAACTCATTTCTTTTTTCTCGTTTTGTCACCGCTCACATGCGTAATTATTTCCACGTTCTGCTACTTGCCCTAGTATCAAAACTGGGATGTTTTTGCATTTCAACATTCCTTGTCAGTGGTTTCTTTTCAGGGGGTGGGTGGGGGGCACTGCCAACGAATGTAGAAAGAAAAAAACATCCCAGTTTCGACACTCATGAATAGTCACGTCTTCTGCGCTTCCCCTGCAGTACTCCCTACCTGTACACATGCACCCCAAAGAGACCCAGGACAACACAACCTCCCACAAACATTATATATGGTGAGCAAACATCAATTACGCCTGTGTGTCACCGGGGCCCTCACGGGAAGCAAAGAATAGTGACACTGCACCCTACCAGGCAAGTCGTAAGAGGCGACTAAGGGTAGGGTTGGGCTTGAGGTTGGCTACCTCATCGTGTAAAAACCATAGCCACAAAAACCAACCAACCGTGGATGAGTCAAAAAGAGAAGCAAGTAAAATCCAGCCAACCAAGATAAGGGGAGGCTCTTCAAATAGAAGAAGTATGACACGGTGTGGAGAAAGCCGTAAGGAGTCCGGATCATTGACGTACCTCCTCTCAGCTAGGAAAACCTCCAGAATTGGCACCTGGAATGTTAGAACTCTCTATGATATAGGGAGAACAATGGAAGTAGCAAAAGAAATGAAATATTATAGAATTAGTATTTTAGGGCTATGTGAAACTAGATGGACTGGAGCGGGGAAAAGTATTCTAAGTTCAGGGGAAACTATTTTGTTCTCAGGACACACAGAGGAAAATTTGCCCCACAGAGAAGGAGTGGCCCTGATGCTATCGAAAGAAGCAGACAGGGCACTAATAGAATGGGAAGCTGCGAGTCCCAGAATAATAAGAGCATCTTTTAGAACAGTGAAACGGAAGGTGAACATACAGTGTCACGCACCAACAAATGATAATGATGCATCTGTTAAGAAGAATTTTACATGCAGCTTCAAAATATTATAAATAATGAAAGAAAGAGCAATTTAAAAATTTTGATGGGTTACCTGAATGCTAAGATAGGATCAGACAACACAGGTTATGAAGAAATTATGGGAAGACATGGTCTAGGAGTAATGAATGAAAATGGAGAAATGTTCACAAATTTGTGTGCAGGAAACCAGTATGTTATTGGTGGAAGTATTTTCCCCGCTGGGATCAGATCAAGGAATGCTGAAATAAATCTTGCGTAAAGTTCTTGGCATATAAAGCAAGGAAACATAAAGCATGGATACACCAGCAAACCATTAAACTGATGAAGATAAGGAAGTTAAAAGGCAGAATTAACATATAGCAAACTCAGAGCTGCTAATTTTCTAAGCTAGAGCTCAGGAGAATTACACAGAAGCCAACAAGGAAGTTTAGATGGCATATAAGGGCAGATAAAGTGAAATATCTAAATGATCTAGCACAACATTGTGCAGAAACAGCAGCAGCAAAAGCAAGAAACCTCAGAGAAACTTTACAGTAACACAAGAAAGTTAGTAGGTAAATGTAGTCATCGCCAACTGGATCAATCAAAATGGTCAAGGAAAGCTTACCAACACTAAAGATCAAATGGACAGATGGGTTGAATATTTTAAAATGCTTCTACATAGACCAGGGTGCCCAGAGGTTCCCCCAGATATCCAGCCTTCAGAAATGGAACTGGATATCAACTGTGATTATACCATCCAAAGAAGAAATTAGAAAAGCTATCAATCTTTCTAAAGGAAGGAAAGGCGGCAGGCCTAGATGGGTATCCCAGCTAAAGCCATCAGGGCCAACATAAACACATCAACAGAATTGCTACATAGATTGATTCAGGTAAAGTCTGGTAGACTGAGAATACCAGCAGACTGGAGGAGAAATATCTTGTGAAACTGCCCCAAAAAAAAGTGATCCTACAGGAGTGTGAAAACTATAGAGCTGAATTATTTTGCTGTCAGGTTCCTGGAAAATAGTTAAGTAGAATTATTTTGGAAAGATTCAAAAGATGCTATTGATAAAAAATGCTAAGAGATGAGCAACAGGTTTTTCGGTCAACACAGATCCTGTACTGACCAGATAGCCACATTACGTATTATAATAGAGCAAAGAATTGAACTAAACTCACCACTTTACATTGGATTTATAGACTGAAAAAGCATTTGACAGCATTGATAGGGAAGCTCTCCGGAAATTGATGGGGCACTATGGAATCCCACAGAAAATTGTCAACTTAGTAAAGGCAACATATAAAGACATGAAATGTCGAGTTCTTCATGAGGGAAAGCTAACAGACGCATTTGAAATAAAAACAGGTGTGCGACAGGGATGTCTTTTTTCGCCTCTCTTATTTCTACTGGCTATAGACTGGACTATGAAAACAGTAACTGCTAACACCGAGAATGGAATTCAGTGGACCCCTACAAAACAGCTTGATGATCTGGACTTCGCTGATGATATTGTTCTTCTGTCCCATACACGGAATCAGATGCAAGATAAATTAAATAAACTTGATGTGAGATCACAGCAGCTTGGTCTGAAAATCCATAAAGGAAAGACAAAGATAATGAGAATAAATCAGGCAAATAGTAGTGTGGTTTCTCTTAATGGCTCCCCACTCCAAGACGTGGAGTCATACACCTATTTGGGCAGTAATGTAGATAAAGATGGAGGAACTGACAGAGATATTAAAATAAGAATACAAAAAGACAAGAAGGGCTTTCATAGCACTAAGGAAGTTGTGGAGGTCAAAAGAAATTAAAAGAAATACTAAACTAAAATTTTTTAATTCTAATGTCAAATCAGTACTATTGGATGGGGCAGAAACATGGAGAACAACTAAGAATTACTAATAAATTACAGATATTCATTAACTGGTGCCTGCGCAGAATAGAGGGAATTAAATGGTATGATAGAATAACTGATGTAGAACTTTGGGAGAGAACTAAACAGGCTCCAGTGGACCAAGAGGTGAGGAAAAGACGCTGCCGTTGGATAGGACACACACTGAGAAAACAGGAGAACAGCATAACTAGCATGTCTTTGCATTGGAACCCACAGAGGCATAGGAATAAAGGAAGGTAAAAAAACACATGGAGAAGAGAGCTGGAGAATGAAGTTAGAAAGATGGGGAAGACATGGGGAGGACATGGGGATGGCAAAGGATAGAACAACTTAGGGTGAGTTGGTTGAGGGCCTATGCTCCATTGGGGGATAGAAAGGCAGAAGAAGAAGAAGAAGAAACATCAATTGAAGCCATCTTATAACACCCCCACAACATAGGAAAGGCAGTGCAACCGGCCACGACATGAATGGAAGTGGAAGGAACACTCGATGTGTGGGCAAGTTCGTAATAAGATCTGCATATATTTGTAAAAACCAATCAGCTCTTGATGAGGATATAGTCAACCTCACCCTGACCACTTTACTTCCCAAGACATTACCTGATACCCATTTTGGTTCAAGTCAACCTGGCAGCAAAGGTCAATTTTGAAAAACAAAACATCCACCTTGATATGGATTTGAACTGTAGACCTTTGGACCGACAGACAAGCTTCTAGCCATTGTACAAGCTTTTGTAAGCATAGTTTCCCATGTGGGTTCTGAGGCTCCATTTGTGGGTAAGGGTGGGGGGGGGGGTGGGGGGGGGGGCTGGTGGAAGAAAACAGACCCATTGCCTCCCCAACAAGCACAACATTAAAGGTGACGAATCAGACAATTTACTCCCAGGTCACTGCATCTGCCTGAGAGGTGAGGAATGAACAGTCTGCACACAGATAAGCCAGATCTGTAAAACGGATGTATACACAAAACTCTAATTCTACAATAAGACTCAACTCCAAAAGTGTTTAACAACCAGATATTTCTGTTGGAGTTTACAGCCGGTGTACATAAAAAAAGAAGAATTCTTCCTTCTAATGTTCACTGGTGTTTCATCTACCTCTGGACTTTAGTTTTGTTTCAGAACCTGAGTGATGCCTGCACATCCGTTTTACAGATCTGTCTATTCTTGTTTCCCCCACTAAGGGGCCCCGGAACTCACATGGAGGAAAAAGAAGAAGTAATCAAAGAAATCCCATAGCAGCTACTACCTTTAAGATCTAAATCACGAGATCTTCACAAATTACATTATAATAATATAATGGATGGTAATCTCAAATGAATATAAAGTGAACAGACAATGACATATCTATATATAAAATGGTGTGCCTGGCTCCCTTCGTCAACAACCACTTATCGCTGGAGATCTCCCTGATACCCATTTTATGAGGTTAGGTAAACATTAGTGCCATATGCTGGAAAGAAACAACATCAGTTAACACAGGGCTTCAATCCAGACTGTTGAAATGACAAGCAGGTGCACAATTATAGACTCCGGGGACGAGGTGGGACTGCAGCAAAACAGTGCACAATGATGAAATGAAAAACGGTTCATCTCTTCACTAGAAAAATGAAATGGAAATGTTACCATGAAATGATGATCACTGCCGGTTACCTACATACTGTAGACTGTAGATGTATGTAAGACAGCAGGCAGCAGTAATGGGTTACCTGAAATATTGTAGACTGTCGATGTGTGTAAGACACCAGGTAGCAGTGAAATCACAGAGGCTGTGACTGGCCCTCTAACCACTAGCATGCTGGGATAAAAAGATTCCACATCCTGTTGACAAGCAAGAATTCAACAAGTCCATAGTGAGCTTTGTATACCAGTACAAATAAGTAAACGAAAAAACCCGTTTTCATGCCATTAAGCATATTAGGTGCGTGGCACAACAATTTCATCAGAGGCAAGAGAGAAAATTATGCTGCGGTGTCGAGTATAAGAAGATATTCCTTACTTCACTGTATGCACAATGGATTCTGGCCTATGTTGGCCTAAACTCAGCTGGGAAGGAATCTAGGAGTTGGTGGCCCGCTGAGTTTCCAGAAACCCTCTAGCACTCAACCACCCACCATCAATGCATGGGTGACAGCATCCATCAACATCTCATTGGGAGCATGAGTTAAGTCTGCTGGCCTAGTATCCTACTAAAGGACAAACTGGGTTTAAACCTCTGTCCCAGAGTCCTATTATACAACAAACACTGGTTCAAAGGTCTGTTGAATGTTGTTTGTTGTTGTTGTTCATACATCACGAGTGATGGGGACCACTTTTCCTCCACAGTAGTAATGATCAATGATTATGAGTACGAAGGTGGCTGATTAGTCCAATATGAGCACGGACACTTTTTGAGAAGCGCAGACAACAGAATATTGAATGAGAGTCCTACTGAAGGACAAATTAGGTTGAAATGTCCATCCATCAAGTGTCCTACTATATGACAGCAAAGGTTAAGATATCTTTTGCTTAAAGATTCTGCTCAACGATATAAAAGGTTCAAACATCCGCAACCACTGAGCCACTCATCAGGGTATAATGACCATACGGGCAGTCAGGCCTGATGCATGCTTCCCATAAATGCTGCATAATTCCAATTCCTTTTAGGAAAAAATCAAAAACTCAACCATGTTCAAACTGCTGCGACAAAGCTGCCAACAGTCTCTGACTATATTTGTGCTTTTGTTTATTTGCGCCACTTTCATGGCTAAAGTTCTGGTATTTGCGCCGTCTCTGGGCTTAATAATTCTTTCCTACATGTCAGACTGCCATTATTTATAGTTTTAAAATTGTGAGTATTTTACTTTGCCGAAAAGTACTTGAAAACAATTGGTTGGGTTTGGACAGACCGGATATGTGAAAATAAATGCTGCATAATTTCGATATAAGGCTAAACCTACATTTTAAAGACCAGCGGCACAAGATGGGTGATGTGGTCAGCATCACGCCGGCCACCTTTACTTCCTGGGACTGCACCCGGTACCCATTCAAGGCTGGGTCGACCTGGGAGCCAAGGTCATTTTTGAAGATAAGTCCGGCTCCGCCAGGAAGCGAACCCACAACCTTCCGATCCGCAGCGCGCGTCTAGCCGCTCGGCCACAGTGACTATACAGACATAGACTGAAGAAAAAAAAATAAGGACAAATATACATTTTGCCTTTTTTTCATCCAAATACCTGTGCTTCGCCATCTGGCATGAAGATGTATGTCCCACTCTTGTCCCGGAATGGATTCGTCCATGATCCAGTTCCATAGCTAACCATTTTCACTTCTGTTTTGTGCAGGATGCCATCTGTCTTTCGTAAAGTGTGCTATTTCCAGAGGAGGAAACAAACATCAAATAAACTTCTAACTACAGATATTTCAGTTCAAGAAGGTTTAAAATCAAGAGCCAAAGGGAGGAAAAAAGTCACCATGAAAACTCATAACTGCATAACCTTTCATGTGGCAAACAGTAATTGTTTCTGTTTGATTCAGCAAGGGTACATGCCAGCAACCTTTGTGTTTCACTCGTATGGATATTTTGACAGTCAGCTGACTTCATCCAAAAAAGGTATCTTAGTCTTTTATGTGGTTTTATCAACTGTCATGTTTTTGTTAGTGAAGTATTATGTTTTATTGGAAAGATTAATAGTTTCATGTCTGTCTTCTTCTTTGTGTTCACTAGCTGTAAACTCTAGCAGAAAGTCCTAAATGTCCGTCCATTTCTGGACTAATTCATTCCCTTCTGGACTTTAGTCTTCTTCGAGAACTTGAGGTTGTGCATGCACATTCATTTTACATATCTGGCTTATTTGTTTGCAGACTATTGGTTCCTTGTTTCTCACGCAGATGACTCCAACTTCAAATAAAGTCCCTAATTACTATACACTTTCGACATGTTAGGAGGGTAGTGGAGCTACCCCCCCCCCCCCATGTTGCTTTGGAATCCATACAGAAAGTTTGGTTTGATGTCTCATCTGCACTGGTTATAACTAACATAGTGTAAATGGCCTAGTGGGAAAGTCACATTTCATTATTATGCTCTAACCCAGAGTTTCCCAAATGTTTTTTGGGGCTGTGCCCTTTTTTATTTACAATTTTTTAATGCAACAACTAACCCATATTTGATGAAACAAAATGTCCACCACTATTAAAGAATGAGCTCACAATTGATGGAACAATTAACCCACAACAAGCCCTTACTATGACACAATTAAATCATATCTGATGTTACAATAAGCCCACACTATGACAGAATAACCTCACCGATAACATTTAAATTTAAAAAAAGTAACAACAAACCCAATAAAACAGAACAATTAACACATAACTGAAGTAGCAACAAGCCCTCAATATGGAACAATTAATTAGCTCACAACTAATGGTAACAATAAGCCCACCATCATGTAAAAATGAACCAAAAACTTAGTTAACAATGAAGACAGATAATTTACCTGAAGTGTCCCTGTACAGGATGAGAAGCTAGCCTTCAGGTACTGGTTTTCAATTTCAAATCTTGCTTTGGTGGACACCACCGGATGAAATTTGGATCTAGACAAGATCAGTAAAATAATCAACCATTTTTACATCAGTTATAAATACTCTTTTAAAAAGATAATTTTTAATTTGTTTAGTTAGTTAGTTGACAGATTATCCTCACTGCACATCGAACCACTCAGTCCATCAGTGCTGGGATCCCATCCTCAGTAAATCCCGCAGCCTGTAGCAGCTAACAACAGGTGTTGTGTGTTGATTTATTATTCTTTTTTGGCTACCTGCTTAGTGTTCTTGTTTGGCGACACCCCGTTTAACTTGTTGTTCTTGCAGTCTGACCATGGTTGCAGACTGACAGTTCTCAGTTGGTTCAAACGTCTTAACTCTCTTAGAACATTTAGTATATCAGCCTGGTCCATGGCTTGTACGGCTTTCACAGTAGCCTTACCTGCAAGTCTATCAGCTTGCTCATTTCCTTGTACCCCCACATATCCTGGCACGAAAATGAAACTAATCCTTGTCAGCCGTGAATTCTGTAGAACCACCAACCACTGCCTTCGGACCCAGCCCTTCTCTATCTTCCTGAGCATACTCATCAAGTCACTAGAAAGCTTGCCCCAGTGTAAGTCTGCGTCTCTAGCCATGTTACTGCTTTAGTCACAGCCATGACCTCCAAATGTCATTTGTTGCTTTTAAGAAACAAGAAGGCTCCCCTAAGTCTGGTATACAATTCTTCAGCTTGAGTTTTCTTTTAGTGATATACGCACCCCAATGTACAAGAGGAGCAACTAAGTAGGTAAGATAGATATGCATGGGTCAGTTATTGCCAAGTTTTAATTTTCAAAACCAAAACGACATTATGCATCACTATAAATGCAAAAAGCAAAATACAATAGCCAGCCATAAAAGTGTTTGCTACATGGCTTATCACAAATACTTTAAAAACACTGGCCCCAAACAGTGCCTTCCTGCAATTTCAGAGTTTAACAATTATGTTGATAAAAGGAGAACAAAGTTAATAATGAAGTCTGCCACAGTTCCACAGGGGCATTTTGTAACTGATCTTTTCCTGAAAACCACACAAAATGGCTTCACGTCTTAAGTGAAAAGTGAAACAGGCAGCAGTCCTGGCGACAAGTGAAAAGTGAAATAGGCAGCAGTCCTGGTGACAAGTGAAAAGTGAAACAGGCAGCAGTCCTGGCGACAAGTTAAAAATGAAACAGGCGGCAGTCCTGGAGACAAGTGAAAAGTGAAACAGGCGGCAGTCCTGACAAAACAAACAACAGACATTAAGGGCAGCTAGATGTGGCAGCACCAACAGTCCATCACTAGAATTGCAGTTCATGTCGACAGAAGCAGTAGTCATGGCAAACAGTAGTTTCATATGTAATAATGCATAAAGCATACCACCAATTTGGTGACACTTTCTTAATAAAACTACCTCTGGCACAGATGAAAAGAAAAGCATGCCACATGAAATCCATAGCTCCCAGTGTCATACCAAGCACTCAATTCAGGAGAAGTAAACAACACTTCTTCTTCTTCTGCCTTTCTATCCCCCAATGGAGCATAGGCCCTCAACCAACTCACGCCAAGTCGTTCTATCCTTCGCCATTGCATGGAGCTCTCCCCATGTCCTCCCAATCTTTCTAACCTCATTCTTCAGCTCTCTTCTCCATGTGTTTTTTGGCCTTCCTTGATTCCTATGCCCCTGTGGGTTCCAATGCAAAGACATTCTAGTTATGCTGTTCTCCTGTTTTCTTAGTGTGTGCCCTATCCAACGCCAGCGTCTTTTCCTCACCTCCTGATCCACTGGAGCCTGTTTAGTTCTCTCCCAAAGTTCTACATTAGTTATTCTATCATACTATTCTGCGCAGGCACCAGTTAATGAATGTCTGTAATTTATTAGTAATTGCCTTCGTTGTTCTCCATGTTTCCGCCCCATCCAATAGTACTGATTTGACATTAGAATTAAAAAATGTTAGTTTAGTTTTTCTTTTAATTTCTTTTGACCTCCACAACTTCCTTAGTGCTATGAAAGCCCCTCTAGCCTTTTGTATTATTATTTTAATATCTCTATCAGTTCCTCCATCTTTATCTACATTACTGCCTAAATAGGTGTACGACTCCACGTCTTGGAGTTGGGTGCCATTAAGAGAAACCATATTACTATTTGCCTGATTTATTCTCATTATCTTTGTCTTTCCTTTATGGATTTTCAGACCAAGCTGCTGTGATCTCGCATTAAGTATATTTAATTTATCTTGTATCTGATTCCGTGAATGAGACAGAAGAGCAATATCATCAGCAAAGTCCAGATCATCAAGCTGTTTTGTAGGGGTCCACTGAATTCCATTCTTGGTGTTAGCAGTTACTGTTTTCATAGTCCAGTCTATAGCCAGTAAAAATAAGAGAGGCGACAAAAGACATCCCTGTCGCACACCTGTTTTTATTTCAAATGCATCTGTTAGCTTTCCCTCATGAAGAACTCGACATTTCATGTCTTTATATGTTGCCTTTACTAAGTTGATAATTTTCTGTGGGATTCCATAGTGCCCCATCAATTTCTAGAGAGATTCCCTATCAATGCTGTCAAATGCTTTTTCATAGTCTATAAATCCAATGTAAAGTGGTGAGTTCAGTTCAATGCTTTGCTCTATTATAATACATAATGTGGCTATCTGATCAGTACAACACTGCAAAGCTTTAAAAAAAAAAACTATTCTGATAAATTTTGAAGACACCAAGAAGCTAAACTGACTCCAGCTTTTTTCCCCACATGAATTACAAAGATAAAGAAAAAGAAAAACATATACAACTGAACGAAAACAGTCATGATGATTCTTACGGAAATAAAGAAGTCTCAAGCTGATTACCAAATATAGTCACAGTTGCAAAAGTTGAGGTCTGGGCATCTTCTATCAGTTCATACAATTTGATCGACAGTGCTGGTAAATCAGCCACAAATATAATCTGTAAATTACAACACAAAAAGAATCAACAGTTAACAAAGTAAGAACAATTAAAAAGTAATTAGTGGTATTGTCAGCCACACTCAAATTGCAGACAAGAATGAAGACAAGTGTGTACTGGTGCTACCTGAATTAATCACTAATGTAGAGGACTTAGAAAATTCTATTAAATCAGGGGGTGAGGTAAAGAGCCTGGCATTGGACAGGATACAAAGAAAGCATGATTTTCATGTATGTGGAATGTCTTTGCACTGGAAACCCCCAGGGTCAAAGAACAAGCATGCCACAAAGAGCGACTGACTAATTAAGGACTTGCTGAAATTTGATTTTTTTTGTACAGAAAATTGCAGACAATGTAGCCTAGCCTCTAGTTAGTCTTTCCTCTTGAGTCCAGGGAGGCGCAGAGGGCAGAGGTCATAGCTCCATGTCTGGTAGTTCACTGCCACCTGTTTTATTTAGGTCTTGAATGTTTGTAGGCACCTGGTTGTAAGCAGGGTCTTTCTTGGTTTTCCCTTTTTCTTTTCACTTCTGGTGTCCATATGAGGGCTTGATGGGGGAGTCTGGTCTTATCCATTCTGAGTGAATTTTCGATATAAGCCTAGCTGTAAACCATAAACAAAACATGTCAGCCACCTTTTTAATGGTAAATGCAGAAGAAGAAGAGGAAGACATAATGGTATAAGGGATAAGACCAGCCAGTGAGGACACACCAAGATGAAGACATAATGGCTTGAAGGATAGGACCAACCAGTGAGGACACACCAAGAGGAAGACATAATGGCATAAGGGATAAGACCAGCCAGTGAGGACACACCAAGATGAAGACATAATTTCTTGAAGGATAGGACCAACCAGTGAGGACACACCAAGAGGAAGACATAATGGCTTGAAGGATAGGACCAACCAGTGAGGACACACCAAGAGGAAGACATAATGGCATAAGGGATAAGACCAGCCAGTGAGGACACACCAAGAGGAAGACATAATGGCTTGAAGGATAGGACCAACCAGTGAGGACACACTAAGATGAAGACATAATGGCTTGAAGGATAGGACCAACCAGTGAGGACACACCAAGATGAAGACATAATGGCATGAAGGATAGGTTCAACCAGTGAGGACACACCAAGATGAAGACATAATGGCTTGAAGGATAGGACCAACCAGTGAGGACACACCAAGAGGAAGACACAATGGCATGAGGGATAAGACCAACGAGTGAGGACACACCAAGAGGAAGACATAATGGCATGAAGGATAGGACCAACCAGTGAGGACACACTAAGATGAAGACATAATGGCTTGAAGGATAGGACCAACCAGTGAGGACACACCAAGATGAAGACATAATGGCTTGAAGGATAGGACCAACCAGTAAAGACACACCAAGATGAAGACATAATGGCATGAGGGATAAGACCAGCCAGTGAGGACACAATAAGAGGAAGACATAATGGCATGAAGGATAAGACCAGCCAGTGAGGACACACCAAGAGGAAGACATAATGGCTTGAAGGATAGGACCAACCAGTGAGGACACACTAAGATGAAGACATAATGGCTTGAAGGATAGGACCAACCAGTGAGCACACACTAAGATGAAGACATAATGGCTTGAAGGATAGGACCAACCAGTGAGGACACACCAAGAGGAAGACACAGTGGCATGAGGGATAAGACCAGCCAGTGAGGACACACTAAGAGGAAGACATAATGGCTTGAAGGATAGGACCAACCAGTGAGCACACACTAAGATGAAGACATAATGGCTTGAAGGATAGGACCAACCAGTGAGGACACACTAAGATGAAGACATAATGGCATGAAGGATAGGACCAACCAGTGAGGACACACCAAGATGAAGACATAATGGCATGAAGGATAGGACCAACCAGTGACGACACACCAAGATGAAGACATAATGGCTTGAAGGATAGGACCAACCAGTGAGGACACACTAAGATGAAGACAATGGCTTGAAGGATAGGACCAACCAGTGAGGACACACCAAGAGGAAGACACAATGGCATGAGGGATAAGACCAACGAGTGAGGACACACCAAGAGGAAGACATAATGGCATGAAGGATAGGACCAACCAGTGAGGACACACCAAGAGGAAGACACAATGGCATGAGGGATAAGACCAGCCAGTGAGGACACACTAAGATGAAGACATAATGGCTTAAAGGATAGGACCAACCAGTGAGGACACACCAAGAGGAAGACACAGTGGCATGAGAGATAAGACCAACCAGTGAGGACATACCAAGAGGAAGACACAATGGCATGAAGGATAGGACCAACCAGTGGGGACACACCAAGAGGAAGACACAATGGCATGAAGGATAAGACCAACCAGTGGGGACACATCAAACCAAACAAAGAAAATCCAGACACACGTGGGCAGCAATTTGCAATGACTAATCAGGAGGTGTAACCACGAGTTGCTAGTTACTGTTAGTTTGTGATGCATTGTTTTCACATAGTATGCAAGGTACCGACATTGAGGGACACAGATTAGGAAATTCCCGTAATAGCAGGACATTGGTCTGGTAGAGTTAAGCAGTCATATGCAGGACGTGGCGATTCCTTGTGTGAGCCTAGAACCAGAGCATCATGTGTCAGCTCTGCATTTATGGAAGCCTCCTTGGATGGCGGGGAATGCCCATGATCTGCCCTATGCCTACCCTTGAGGGCTGACCATTCTACATAGGGCTGCCCTAAAAGGGGTCCCCCGGGGGCAACACTGTAGATAAAGGGAAAAAGAGGACACTACACAAATGAGGTAACATCTCGACCCACATAAAACAATGGCCACAGTCATCCTAGAGATAGGCTTGATGTCTTTCCTCGAAGTCAAAGTACATATGCCTGTGAGGCAGGAAATGTCAAAAACCAGTAAAACGGTTGTACATGCAAAACTCAGGTCCAGGTAAAAGCCAATTGTCTAAATGGACAATCTACCGAGACCTTCTGCCGGAATTCACAGTTGGTGAACAAAGAAACTTTAACTGTAAACCCAGACGTTGCTGCAATCTAAAGTCATGATTAATAATTATAAATAAAACTAACGGGCAAGCCAGCACACCAAAATCAGATTAACTAGCATACATCACATTAAAATAAACAATGTGTAATACATACATCATAAACATTTGGGAGAGGCTGCAATCCTTTACCAATAACAGGGTTGATCTGACTGGGCACAAAGGATCCATCATGTGCTCTCACACGAGACGGGGTAGAAACTCGCACAGTAACAGGCGATGTCCAAGGAATAGTCAGAGGATTTGTAACAGCTACAAAACTGGAAACAAAACAAAAAACAATCAACAATACTTAGGTGGCTCCCACCCCAAAAAAAAATATGAATATTAAAAAGAACTGAAGATAATATATATCAGAGATACCACCAGAGTGAGTGAGTGAGTGAGTGAGTGAGTGAGTGAGTGAGTGAGTGAGTGAGTGAGTGAGTGAGTGAGTGAGTGAGTGAGTGAGTGAGTGAGTGAGTGAGTGAGTGAGTGAGTGAGAGAGTAACAGACAACAGACAGACAAACAGACAGAAAAACAGACAGACAGAAAAAAAAAACATAAGTAATATCAATGTGTGTGAGTCAGAGTAAGTAAGAGACTAAGGATACACACACACACAGGTGCAAGCACATATATGACCTACTTAGTGATCCTTACAGGTGTTATGAAATGTACGCATCCTCTTAATTTGACCTGTGAAAACATACTGTAGTTGAGATACTTTGAGAAATGACACCACTGCACTTGGCACTGTTAAGTCCATATCTTCAGTGAAGAGTTCCAATTTTAATAGTGCCATTAACAGTTTGATTATATTTCCTTGCCTATGATTGCAGAGTGTGATTAGATCCCTGGTCACTTCTGGCTCATCATTCTCTTGTTCACTTGCTCTCAAAGGGCCCCGACACATCTAGCTGGTCATGAATCAATTCACCCCCCACTGGTGCAGAACCAACCAATATGTCCACCTGTTCATACTGTAGCAATGATGGTGAGCCTTAACAAACTTACACTGCAAGACTACATAATATATCTAGTGAAACGGCATGTAGCTGGAATAAAGAAGTATCTCTGCCATCCTATTTCACTTATTGTTTTTTTCTGCTTTTTGATGCCAAGTTCAGCTCTTTTATTGTACCAGACAATTCATTGGTCAATGTTCTGATTTCAAAATGTTTTTTTTTTTCTTAAACTACAAGCCATACAAAGACGAAATGACTGTATTTTAAATCTGGACACAGTTGGTTGTTGGTTTAAGGAACTATCATCATTGCTTTTCAGGAAAATCCACAAATGCTCCATCTCCCTTGGTAACTGATGTCAGATGTAAATACTGATGACTCTAGCTAGTAACACGGTGGAGGTAATAACCTCAGCTGAGGCTTATATGGTCCATCACTGCTGCAAACTTACATTTGTCTTTTTGTCAAATTTGAATATTGTTGTGGCCAAGCTTCTCCATCATTCCTGCTTCAGAAAACCAACTTCATTAAACTTGTTTTTCTGTCATCATTGAATGTCCTCTTAGCTTCCTAAAGTGCTAATCCTCTAATCAGCATTGTGTCGCATGTACTGCCAGCACTTTTTCTGCAGATGTTTCTTCATGCCATGGTGACACTGTAACATTTTATCACCTGGTCTCTCCTGCATCTCTTTCCCTCCAAATTTCCTCTTGCATAATATACTATTGTTTCTCCCTTCTCACAATATGCTTAAAGAACGGGTCATCATAGCAGTACTTCTAAACTCTTTATTCCTGACTGTCATCTTCCAGGTTTTAAATCGAAATGTAAAAATATAAGACAGTCAAAGAAAACATCTGCCCCTGTCAGTGTTCAAAACTACCATACCAAAAACAAGGGAGTCTCTTTGGTCAAGTGGTCAAGTGGTCAGGCCATTTGCTCTAAAGGTCATGGGTTAATTTCACAGTGGCGTTGTTCAGTTCACAACAGCATTTTTAACGAAGATCCCTAGGGATCATCGCCGGAGCTACGGAGTTCATGCTTTGCACAACGCTCTCGGCAGGAAGCTAGCCATTCTGCGGAGAGAGACTGAGCTATACAGGATCAAACCCGGTGCAATCACGTCGATCCTCTTAACTTTAACCTAACCTTCATACTAATAATTGCCCCCATTGCTTGTGGACACTGGTATCAAAGATGTATCATGGAAGAGATTTAGATCTCACCAAGTAATTGTCAAAAAAACGGCAGGGGATGCAAATACCGATTGCAGCAAGCTTTCATTTCAAGACAGCAGGGTTTTTATTTTCTTACCTTCTACATGAAAAGTCCACAACCTTAACAAAGATTTGTATCTGGGTCCCCCATATGAAAAATAAGCATTCTTAACCATTCGCCAGCTGCTATTTAATCATCACAAAAAACGCTGAATGTTGAATTAGGAATCAACATCACAGCACTCGGGAAACTCTCATAAGCGCTCCATCCCCACCATCAGCAGCAAACAAAGAGTTCCAATTCCAATGGCACCAGTAATTGTCTGATTGTATATCCGTCTCGCCTTTCCCTTGAGTGTTGAGCATCGGCCAGATCCTCTGGAAACTCCTCGTAGCGCCATTCTTCTCAGACCATAATGATCTGTTTGCGCTTCCGCACTGTTCACTCACTCCCAGAGGGCCCTCACAACATCTAGCTTGTCATACATCAGTTCACCACCAAGTGGTGCAGAATTGGCCAGTCTATCTGCCTGCTAATTTCAATCATCACACACACACAATATGAAACCCTCACAAACTTACCAACTCTTTTTATAGTGAGCAACTTTCAATACTGGTTGAGAGGAAACTGAAGCCCACTCTTCTGTCATGAAAATCGATTGCTGTGGCAGCTGATCCATTTTGTTATTACTGGTGATCATGTTGTTTAACATCAGTAATGCCAGAAGTTCATTCAGCTTCTCCATGGTGTTTCTTAAACTAAAGAACAAGCATAAATATGTTGGTATAAGAAGCAGGGGGAAAACAATAAAAGGTTAAGATGTTGTTTTGTTGTGATGACCACATTTTGGGGATGTAGGGCCATATATTCCATGCAGGGCCATATATTCCATGCAGGGCCAAATATTCCACGCAGGGCCATATACTGAACATATGATGCTAGACATTTATTTCTTGTATAGACCAATCAGCATTCGATGGGTGACTATTTTGGTCTAAATTAGCATAGGGGCTCAAAACAATTATTTTTAAAAAAAAAATGATTCTTGCCTTAATGGGAATTAAAACATAGGATATATACTAGGACCAGAGTGTCATGTGTCAGCTCCACATTTATGGAAGCATCCTTGGATGGCGGGAAATGCCCCACAATCTGCTCTTGCCTCACCTTAAGGGCTAACCTGTCTATATGCAGCTGGTTTGGACGGAGTCTCAATGGGTAACACATACAGATTAAGGGAACAAAGAGAACACTACACAAATGAGGCCACTGTATGTCCCACTCCCACGAAACTCTCCGGGAAGTTAACCCGGTCCACAAATGCTCAATGAAGTTGGGATGTGTTAGCCGAAAGGAGCAAACATCACAGCTCAGCCATTTACATTACTTGGATGAACAAAAAGAAGAAACAAAGGATAAGGGCGATCAGCATATGTGCTAGCTACTGCACTGCTGTGGCTCCTGTTTACATGGTGCTAAATCTATGTGTTCTTGACCAAACAGATCTTCTACTTCCTCTATATTTGCCCTTAGAAGGGCAGCTGGTACGCTGTGTTATGGGTTACAGCTCGGCTGTGATAGATAGATGTATATACCTATTGGCCTAACACATCTGATTTCAGCAAACCTATAATTAATTGCTTTTTATGGCAAGCTGGGGTTGTGGGGGGGGGGGGGGGGCGATTTAGTAGCTCTATATTGTTTACCTCAACATGAGGCCCCGGGCCCCACAAGGGAACTGAACAGCATTGAAAAGGTAATGGCAGCATCAGCAACATGTGGGCTTCCTAATTCCACAATACATTTTCATCACCAATTCTCTTAAGCTAGAACAGTACATGAGCCATGTGGTCATTACTGAGACTGGATCTCAGGACTATCAGGACAGGAGACGAGTGTACTACACAACTAGAAATAAAGTTAGTTAATTAGTTAGTTAGTTGGGTTATCATCATTGCACTCCGGACATGTCCACAGGTGCTCAGATCCTATCCTCAGCCACCAGTGGCTAATAATAATACTAATTCTATGTTGATTAACAAGTCCTCTGATGTATCTGGTGTGTATCTCGTTGTTTGCTATTCCGATCTTTACTCCCAAGTCTTTCATTCAGGCAAGTGATGTGGATTCACTGCCCTCAAAGTCCTCCACACTTCCTATTTCTTGGAGGGCATTATTAATATCAGCATAATCCATAGGTAAACCATCGGTAGTGATAGCGGATCCAGCCAACCTATCAGTTCCTTTATTTCCATCGACACCCACATATCCCAGAACGAAATTCCCCTCAAGAACAAAGTATAAATCAGTAAAGTAAAGTTAGTTTTTTCTACATTATTATATGACCAGCATGGAACACTTTCAAGTATTGTGTTGAAACCTAATGACAAAACAGACTTCTTTTCTGCTGTTTATCCCCCAGTGGAGCATAGGTCTTCAATCATCTCATGCCGCTTATTCTTTGCAATCAAATGTATATAACCCCATGTCCTGATCGTTGTCGCCTCAGTCTCTAATTCTCTTCTTGATGTTTTCTTGGTCTGCCTTATTTTCTGGGGCCTTGTGGGTTCTGTGACACTAACATTGTAGTTATTTTATTATCAGGTTTACTCAGTGTGTATCCTTTAGTTCTCTCCAACCCTCCACACACAGGTGAGGTGATCATATTTATTCTTCTTGTTTGTATTCACTAGTGGAAAGTTCTGATTATTTGTCCACTTCTGACTTTGATCTTGTTCCAGAACAAGAGTTTTATGTGTAATCCATTTTACAGATCTGGCTTTTTTATTTGCAGACTTTTGGTCAAAGGAAGGTTATCATGCCATTCAGTGACAACTGTTCTGCCCAGGAACCAGTAAATGAATGTTTGTAGTTTATCAGTAACTGTGTCAGTCACTCTTGTTTCTGCTCCTTACAGTCAAAGTGATTTGACATTAGAGTTAAACATTCTAGGTTTAGAAGAATATTTTACTCAAAGATCAAAGCACTTTGGCTTAGTTAGTTAGTTAGTTAGTCTTTCCTCTTGTGTCGAGTGCGGCACATAGGGCAGAGGTCATGACTCTCCATGCATGGCGGTTCGTTGCAATCTGTTGTAGGTCTTGGATGTTTGAGTGGCCCATGAGCGAGCCTTCCCTGATGATAGTTCTTCGTAGGGTTTCCCTTGGTCTTCCACGAGATCTTTTCCCCTGTGGTGTCCAAATGAGGGCTTGGTAAGGAAGTCTTGATTTATCCATTCTAAGGGCGTGGCCGACATAGTTCCAGCGGCGTTTTCGTATAAAATTAGACACATACTCTTGCCTGGATTCTTGCCTTATTTGTGTATTGGTTCGGAAATCTGACCATTTGAAATTTAGTATTCTTCTAAGGCATTTATTTTCAAAACTGTCTAATTTTGTGTCTAGAGTTTTCGTTGATTTCCAGCTCTCGCATCCATAGGTTAGTACTGGAATCACACAAGAATTGAAGATCTTGAACTTTGGCTTGAGGGAACAAAAACAAGAAATGGTCGTCACCTTACAGTTACCTTGGTGAAAAAGACAGTTCATGAATGTAGTCTATTTTGCTAGTCGAAATATGCTAGGCAATAAATTGTGCAGTCTACTGTTTGTGTCTTCTTTGTTCAAATTCACAACAGGGAAACATTGCTTTGAGAAACAAGTTCAGTACCCTAAGACGAAAGTTGTTGAGGAGGCCAAAGGTACTGGACTGGGTGTCATCCATGATATTAAAAGGACTGCAAGGATGGAGAACTAGATTGTGAGCCCTATATAATGTTTCGTGGTACGTGAAAATTAGAATGATAATGGTTCTGAGTTTGGAACTAATTTAATTTCCTTTGACCTCCACATATTTCCTAGTGCTATAAATGCTCATCTTGCATTTTAAATAGACTACAGTGCTGAACAATTAAGTGTATTTTACAACAGTACAGGTAAGAAAAAACAACACAAGACAGTAAACTGTTGACAGCAAATACTATGATAATCAACTGTCAGTGAGAAATAAACCAATGTCCTGTCTGTCAGCTGAAGCAATACTATTAATTCGGACTGACCTCTCTTATCCACATTTGTCATTGGATTTTCCTTGGATGTCCTTGTTTCCGCAATTCTTTAATTTTTCATTTCACTGCCTGTTTTATTATATGAACATACAGGTTTTTTTGTGTATCCTTAACAGGGCACTGCAGAATCAACCCCAGTATGTTTTGGCTGTTTGTGATTTCACTAAGTAATTATACATATTAGTTTGCCACTGCTATCTGAATGGTAGGCTCTTAATGCCATTAAACCAACTCAAGGCAATGTGCTGCCAAATTACTGACAGCTGGGATCAAACCAAGCATCTCGACATTACAAAACACATTCATAACACCTAAGCCACAGATGTTTACAATACGAACATGCAGCTGATCAAATCAAACAGAAAAACTTTGGCACATACATCTGTCCATAGTCTGCCATGACAAACTTCTTGCTGGTTCCAGTAATTGCATCGTGATGATGGAAAAGTCCCAGAGACCTGCGGGCCTCAACCAAAACAAGAGCATGCTGTTGATAGATGACATTGGCTGAAGTCAATGACTGGGCCACTGTTAGCGAGAACAGAATTTCTGTGATCCTGTGACATAAGAAATAATCAGAACAATGTTCGTCAATAAATATACATCTAATGTAAACTATACTACTTAAAAGTCATACATCTAACATGGCACATTGTGGAAACAACAATGTGTATGTTATGCAACACTATGTATGCAGACCAGTGTCTCCCCCCCCCCCCCCACTTTTTTTTCCAAAAAGAGGACGAGAAAGCAATTGAGTATTATGATTTTGATTTTCAACTTAAAGAGTCACAGAAACAAAACAGCGAGTGCTGCCAGCTTGATGTGAAGAGTGATCTCCATTGAGCCTTGTTCAACATCAGGCCTAAAGGCCACAAATAGCAGATATCAGCAAGACAAAACATTGTCAACCATCACACTGATATTTGGACACTAAATTACTAGTTTTTGTTAACTATTTCTTTTATAATCTGACACTGTGATTTTTGTGGATGCTGTTCTCCAAGCTCTTGTTAACTGTTTCTTTTGTTATCTGACACTGTGATTTTTGTGGGTGTTGTTCTCCAGGTTCTTGTTAATTATTTCTTTTGTCATTTAACACTGTGATTTTTGTGGACGTTGTTCTCCAAGTTTTTGTTATGTTTCTTTTATCATTTGACACTGTAATTTCTGTGGATGTTGTTCTCTAAGTTCTTGTACACTGTTTATTTTATCATTTGACGCTGTAATTTCTATGGATGGTGTTCTCCAAGTCCTTGTTAATTGTTTCTTTTGTAATTTGACACTGTGATTTCTGTGGATGTTGTTCTTCAAGTTCTTGTGAACTGTTTCTCTTGTAATTTGACACTGATTTTTGTGGATGTTGTTGTCCAAGTTCTTGTTAACTGTTTCTTTTGTAATTTGACACTGATTTTTGTGGATAGTGTTCTCCAAGTTCTTGTTAACTGTTTCTTTTGTAATTTGACACTGTGATTTTTGTGGATGTTGTTCTCCAAGTTCTTGTTAACTGTTTCTTTTATCATTTGACACTGTGATTTTTGTTCTCCAAGTTTTTGTTGACTGTGCATAGGATTTTTTTTTCTGTTTGTCCTCCTCTGTTTAATCACATCTGTTTATGTTGGAGAAAGAAAAAAGGGCGGGGGGAAAGGTGTCTTGCCATATACTTAAGTGTGGGGAGGGGGAGGGAGGGAAGGGGGGGGGGGGGGCACATGAAAAGGCTTGGAGACTAATAATGTAGACTGTGCAAATGTTAAAACTTTCTGTGTAGAGATGGCATAAGTTTCTATTATTTGTATGGTAATAAGGACATAAAGGTTATAATACTGTGTGAATTAGATAACACTTCTAAATATTTAAATAATTCAACAATCTGTGTATTTGCCTTTTGACTACTTCTTCTTATTATTCTATCCCCCAACACTATAGGCCCTTGACTACTGCCAAGTCGTATTATCCTAACAACACTATGACTCTCCCCATGTCCTCCTGATATCTACCTAGTTAACAACTCTCTATGTGTTTTTTTGGACTTACTGATATTATGTAGTAACAATACAAAGACATTCTATTACTTTCTCCTGTTGATCAGTGTTAGTAACAACACTATGACTTTTGACTACTGATATTATTAGTAACAACACTATGACTTTTGACTAATGAAACTACCCATAATGAAACTGATGACTTGTGATTAATGAATTATAAAAATTACCACTTATGAAATGAATGATTTGTGTCGAATGAAATTACCAATGATTTTAATAATTCTACTTATCATCTCCTGAATGCTCAAAAAAATCTCTATTGTGATTTCTATAAAACATTGTATCTCTACTTGTGCATCCCCAAGGCTTATTCATTCCTTTCTGAACTCGGTGTTTGGCAATGCAACATATGCCAAGAACAACATAAGAACATAACATGTTCAACTTGCTGAATTAATAAACAAAGCCACTGTGGTAAAGTATTAGTGTGCTTGCCTGTCTAGACAGAGGTCTGAGTTTAATCTTCATAACAATGGGTACTAGACAAGTTTTGGGTGGCACTGTCTGGAAAGATACAAGAAGCCATTTTGGAAGGGAACTGGCCAACCTACCTCATTCTGTTATAACCCACAATATGTGAAGGCCTAACACTTCACATCCCAGTGGCAGTAGCTATTATTAACCCAGTCCCCTCAGGAAGCCACAGAGCTGACACTTCCGGGTGGGGTGAATTCTCTATAACTGTCACATTTCGAATATGTCTATAGTGACATGTTTTCAAGATGTATAATTAATGATATTGACTGTTTTCACACCTTCACAAATGTTTATGAGATAAAGGTGTGAATATACTAACTAAAAATGCTAATTAGGGGAGTTTTTCCTCACATCAAATGGGTTTTCTTTTAAAGCAAAAGCTGACATCAAATTTCTCCATAAGCCCCAGTGATAGAGGTCATAGGGTCATGGCATGTGTCACCTCATACATATTTTTTTTTTAAGTCCTGTGGAATGCAGTCCATTTAATGCTTCAGTATGTTCATTCTTGACTTCTTTTATGAAACAATTAATTTTGAAACATTTTTAAAATATATGTTAATAAATTTTAAAATGAAAATGTATTTTTCACATCAGCATGATTGTTCCTTTTAAAGAAATTCTTTCAAGAGTAACCATGTGGTCATAACCCCATTTTTTTTTTTTTTTTTTTTTTTTTTTTTTGTTTTTTTTTTTGTTTTTTTGTTATATTTTTAGCATCAACGTGGTGAAAGAGTGTTTGAAAAAAAAGGAAACATTTAAGGACCCTATTCAGGCCAGTAAACTGTCGGGCATATGGTGAGTAACTGCAGCAGTACTATTTTTTAAACCAAACAGGTCATCGCTGATTAATCTGTATACTAAATTCTGAAACAATCAGGTACAAATTAACAAATACAATAACTAACCTTAATTTTGCTTGCAAAACTCTGGCCACATGCTTATAAAATGGTCGGACTGAGAAGTAGCCGGTCCAGTACTGATCATCTCGGTCATTGTAAGAAAAGAAGTCACCTGCCAGGGTCGGGAAAGTTAATTTGGACTGTTCAGTGTCCTTGTCAAGTGCATTAAAATAGTCACTGATTGTGCCAAACTGGACCTGAAATGCCAAAGAATAGCATCGTTTATAAAGGGCCATGCTTGAAGACTCAGAGAGGACACCACGAATTAGACTGTCACAAATCAACATTTTAACATCTACTCTACTCCTGCACATTATGATCCTCAGTACAAAAAGCTCCTTTTTTTTTTTTAAAAAAGACAGTGAGACTTTTTTACTTTCTGGTTACCTGAAGTCTGACACACCTGTGTCCCAAAGACATTGTGTTTCCTTGATGCCAATCCAACAGGCCTTATTTCAGATACCCTGTTCAGTGTCATAAAAAGCTTTATTTTAAGGCATCCATAACAGCTACAAAAAGTAGTAACGTGGCGTTTTTAACTGTCCAAGGAGGGTAAGGATTACAACTGCTGACTGATAGCCACAAAAAAAAAATTAGTTTTTTTTTCAAAGTACTTGGGGTGAGGCTTTTAAACTCAAAACCTTTTCTGACCAAACAGCAGGAGAGAGATGATATGATCAATATTATGTAAGCCACTTTTACAATCCAACAAAATCTCCACTTTAAGAGGCTGCATCGGATCCAGAGTTGACTGGCTGGAAACACTTCAGCCCTGCAACTTTTGTTTCTCTGCCTTTCATTTCCCAATGAGGCACAGGTTTTCCCTCAGCTTATGCCAATCCCTTTACAGATCTGCTTAAAGACTGAATTGTGCAATTACATATGTCTTTGAGGGTTAGACAGAGCCCTGCCACTAGTTGCGGGGGACACACCCAGGACCGCTGTGATAGAATTCTTTCAGTCTCAACCTCTTCCATCCTTCAGTGTTGAGCTTAAAAACAATAAATGGTTAGGTCCAGGGGAGATAAACAGAGACCCTTCCTCTGTGGCTTACAAGGCTCCATTTTGGAGAAAATTTATAGACCCACTGGCTCTCAACTAACGTGTTGTAAACTTTGACTAATTAAGAGTGTTTCCTTCAAATCTGGAGTGCATCTGCTTGATGGGCAAGGAACTAACAGCCTGCCACATCTGAAAAACTGATGTGCAAAACTAAAGTTCAGGGAAAAGATTAAAGTCAGGAAGCAGGCGAATAGCCAGAACTTCCACTACAGCTTACAAAAGTGTCTACACTCCTCGTTCTTTTAGGACAAATTTTTCGTTATCTGAAGCCCTACTCTGGCTATTACCAGGGGCCGCAATATAGCCTGGCCATAAAGGCTGAGCGCGGTTTCTGGGACCTCTCCACGGTGATCCTCACCCACGTGGTGGCACATTGTGTCATCGTGTGTTTATCGCTTGTGTGATGACCTGGTGGGGTAGAAAGTCAGTCAGTCACTACAGCTTACATCTGGTGAACAAGAAGAAGAAGAAGAAGGGAGACACTATAGGACAAATTTAATTAAAATAATAATTCAGATACAAAGGGTTAATACAGCATCTTCCAAATGACCAAGAAATGTATTGTGAGTTGCCTGGTTTAAAAAAGTTGGCCATTACAGCTACCAAAACAAAATATTGCACTAACCATGGAAATATGAACAGAAGACACATGACTGCATTTTAAAATAAAACAAACTTTTATGTTCATATCCTTGTCCTTGTTCATGTAGTCTATAAGTCTGCCAAGGTTGCCAAACTGCTGAGACCACTCTTCACTGGAGGAGTAACGAAAATCATCACCATGAGGCACTAACAAGACATTACTGCGATACAGCTGAGCTTTCTTCTGGAACTGCTCCCACAGGGCCCATGACCTGTGGAGTGTTGATGATTTTATCAATGGAAAGAGCTGGTTGGAACATCTACTTACAGCACTTACCAGCAAATCAAGTGGGCACTGCAGCTGCCAAACAAACAGTTTAAAAGTTATATTCTGTCTGCACCTTTGACAATGTTAGTGTTTTCAAATACAGCAAAGAATATTTAGTTCCACATGAAAAACAGAATATTTACAGAATCAGGGATTGTGTCTGCCATATCTAACATGATGTTTTTGACTTTTGGTAATATATAGAGAAAGAGGAAAATTTCTAGTCTGTACAACTATATATAGCAATTGCTTGGAAAAGAAGCTATTATTCCCCGGCTCAAAAATCTCTTTCATCAAAAACCAGCAGTGACACTGTTGAAGCAATGAACACATACAATTTCTTCTTCTTCTTCGTGTTCACAGGCTGTAACTCCAGCAGAAAGTTCTGGTTGTTTGTCCACTTCTGAACTCTAGTCCTGTTCCAGAAACTGAGTGTTGCGTGCACATCTGTTTTATAGGTCTGACAAATTTGCATGCAGACTCTTGGTTCCTTGCCTCTCAGGCAGATGTACTCCAACTTCAAAGGAAGCACCAAATTAGTTGACTTTTACGACATGTACTCGGGCAGGCAGTAGGTCTATTCTTGTTTTTCCCATAATGGGGCCCCCAAACCCATACGGGGGAAACACATTCAACTAATACATTTCATGTCAAAGAAAGAACATTTGTATATAACCAGCATGAAGACATTTAGCCTAAAATGGATGATAGGCATGGCAGAATGTTAAGCCTCAAAGATATTTTGTTTCCGACAGCACTTTGCTAATGCAGTTTGCACATAAGGATGGCAGGCTACAGTATCACTGCCAGAGTGAATGCTTGGTGCAACCCTGTGAGCTGTGTTTTTCCTGTGGAATGGCTTTACATTGAGCAGCAGTTGTGTCATGGTATTCAATATGGCCGGTAGCCGGTTTGCATGTGAGCTGGTGAAATACTTTGTAATAATTCTACTTGTGTATAAAAGCCAACTTACTGTGCTCGACTACTTCCATCAACGACAAACTGTATTTCTAGTGGTGACTGTTGGCTTTAGCGCCTCTAGCAACTGAAACATGCATTTACAGCGTGCAAATATTTCTGAATTGTTCAGGGAGTAGTTGTCTGTTCACCAGTTGTTCAAATGTGACAGTAAGTAACATTTCATTTGATTTGCACTGGCACAGGAATGGAACAAGTGTGGGGAAACCCGATTTTAGTGAAGTTGAAACCTCGACTAAAAGTAAGACATAACCAACATGTATTATACACATGATTTCAAAGATATATTGTGTGAATAAATAAACATCATATGTTTAATACCAGATTCAATATTCTAGGCCAGGACATGAGTGACAGTGTGGCGAGTTTTCTTCCTCGTAACTTTCCTTACATAGAAAATTCCAGAAATCACCTTATTTTTATACATAACCATACTCATTAAAAAAAAAGATTCTGTCACTTCTGGGAACTGAAGCCAGACCACTGCTTTCACAGAAAAGTACAAGAGTTGATTTTCTTAAATGTTAATGTTAAGTGAATTGACTTATTATGTCTTATGTCTTACAAAGACTTACAATTTCCTGATATTGTTATCATCTACTGTAATTCTGGGAACAGTCTTGGTGCCCCGGAAGCATTTATCAGATGAAAAGTCAAACTGGCAACAAACATGGGGGTCTGGCCCACAAGAATAATGTATCGCATACAGAAGAAATGGCATCATATGGCAGAATATGCCACTTTGACCTTCAGAATCTGTTGATAAGCAAATTGTATGTATGAAAAACAAGTTATAAATTCAGAATCTTTTCCTGTTATGTTATAATTAGTTGAGTAATTACAAAACATTATTTTACAATAAATGAATTAATTTTAAAAATTCTACTGAAAGCCAAGGTTTTGTAAGGAAAGGAATAGAAGCCATAAATTAAAAGTTTCATCACATCGATCAACAAAATATGGTAAACTGGGCAGAAGCTATGGTGTAGCAGTAAGATGCTTAACTGCAGATCAGTAAGTTGTGGGTTCAAGTCCTCATGGTGCAGAATTTCGTTCTAGCATGGCTTAGGCTCACAGGTTCGGCCCAGCCTTGACTTGGCTATGATAAACAATGCCCTGTAGATTCATGCTTAAATGGAAATACACCTCTTTTAATTGTATTTTACACCTGTGGTCTTCACTGGTCACCTTCTATTTCCCTAGGAGGGTTTCTCCTTTGTGCAAATTTTCATTCATCTTTGTGAAACCATGTTGAACTATTGCATCAAGTCTGTGTGATCAGTACATGTGAGTTCAACAAGCATTTTTTGTCTTTGCTTTCCATAGACTTTGAATGTCTCCACTCTCCAGCAAGCTATCAAGCCTTGATCCATCTTTGCTTTCCATAGACTTTGAATGTCTCCACTCTCCAGCAAGCTATCAAGCCTTTATCCATCTTTGATTTCCATAGACTTTGAATGTCTCCACTCTCCAGCAAGCTATCAAGCCTTTATCCATCTTTGCTTTCCATAGACTTTGAATGTCTCCACTCTCCAGCAAGCTATCAAGCCTTTATCCATCTTTGCTTTCCATAGACTGAATGTCTCCACTCTCCAGCAAGCTATCAAGCCTTTATCCATCTTTGATTTCCATAGACTTTGAATGTCTCCACTCTCCAGCAAGCTATCAAGCCTTTATCCATCTTTGCTTTCCATAGACTGAATGTCTCCACTCTCCAGCAAGCTATCAAGCCTGTATCCATCTTTGATTTCCATAGACTTTGAATGTCTCCACTCTCCAGCAAGCTATCAAGCCTTTATCCATCCTTGCTTTCCATAGACTGAATGTCTCCACTCTCCAGCAAGCTATCAAGCCTTTATCCATCTTTGATTTCCATAGACTTTGAATGTCTCCACTCTCCAGCAAGCTATCAAGCCTTTATCCATCCTTGCTTTCCATAGACTGAATGTCTCCACTCTCCAGCAAGCTATCAAGTCTTTATCCATCTTTGATTTCCATAGACTTTGAATGTCTCCACTCTCCAGCAAGCTATCAAGCCTTTATCCATCCTTGCTTTCCATAGACTGAATGTCTCCACTCTCCAGCAAGCTATCAAGCCTTTATCCATCTTTGATTTCCATAGACTTTGAATGTCTCCACTCTCCAGCAAGCTATCAAGCCTTTATCCATCCTTGCTTTCCATAGACTGAATGTCTCCACTCTCCAGCAAGCTATCAAGCCTTTATCCATCTTTGATTTCCATAGACTGAATGTCTCCACTCTCCAGCAAGCTATCAAGCCTTTATCCATCCTTGCTTTCCATAGACTTTGAATGTCTCCACTCTCCAGCAAGCTATCAAGCCTTTATCCATCTTTGCTTTCCATAGACTTTGAATGTCTCCACTCTCCAGCAAGCTATCAAGCCTTTATCCATCTTTGCTTTCCATAGACTTTGAATGTGTCCACTCTCCAGCAAGCTATCAAGCCTTTATCCATCTTTGCTTTCCACAGACTTTGAATGTGTCCACTCTCCAGCAAGCTATCAAGCCTTTATCCATCTTTGCTTTCCATAGACTTTGAATGTCTCCACTCTCCAGCAAGCTATCAAGCCTTTATCCATCTTTGCTTTCCATAGACTGAATGTCTCCACTCTCCAGCAAGCTATCAAGCCTTTATCCATCTTTGCTTTCCATAGACTTCAAATGTCTCCACTCTCCAGCAAGCTATCAAGCCTTTATCCATCTTTGCTTTCCATAGACTGAATGTCTCCACTCTCCAGCAAGCTATCAAGCCTTTATCCATCTTTGCTTTCCATAGACTTTGAATGTCTCCACTCTCCAGCAAGCTATCAAGCCTTTATCCATCTTTGCTTTCCATAGACTTTGAATGTCTCCACTCTCCAGCAAGCTATCAAGCCTTTATCCATCTTTGCTTTCCATAGACTTTGAATGTGTCCACTCTCCAGCAAGCTATCAAGCCTTTATCCATCTTTGCTTTCCATAGACTGAATGTCTCCACTCTCCAGCAAGCTATCAAGCCTTTATCCATCTTTGCTTTCCATAGACTTTGAATGTCTCCACTCTCCAGCAAGCTATCAAGCCTTTATCCATCTTTGCTTTCCATAGACTTTGAATGTCTCCACTCTCCAGCAAGCTATCAAGCCTTTATCCATCTTTGCTTTCCATAGACTTTGAATGTGTCCACTCTCCAGCAAGCTATCAAGCCTTTATCCATCTTTGCTTTCCATAGACTTTGAATGTGTCCACTCTCCAGCAAGCTATCAAGCCTTTATCCATCTTTGCTTTCCACAGACTTTGAATGTGTCCACTCTCCAGCAAGCTATCAAGCCTTTATCCATCTTTGCTTTCCATAGACTTTGAATGTCTCCACTCTCCAGCAAGCTATCAAGCCTTTATCCATCTTTGCTTTCCATAGACTGAATGTCTCCACTCTCCAGCAAGCTATCAAGCCTTTATCCATCTTTGCTTTCCATAGACTTCAAATGTCTCCACTCTCCAGCAAGCTATCAAGCCTTTATCCATCTTTGCTTTCCATAGACTGAATGTCTCCACTCTCCAGCAAGCTATCAAGCCTTTATCCATCTTTGCTTTCCATAGACTTTGAATGTCTCCACTCTCCAGCAAGCTATCAAGCCTTTATCCATCTTTGCTTTCCATAGACTTTGAATGTCTCCACTCTCCAGCAAGCTATCAAGCCTTTATCCATCTTTGCTTTCCATAGACTTTGAATGTGTCCACTCTCCAGCAAGCTATCAAGCCTTTATCCATCTTTGCTTTCCATAGACTGAATGTCTCCACTCTCCAGCAAGCTATCAAGCCTTTATCCATCTTTGCTTTCCATAGACTTTGAATGTCTCCACTCTCCAGCAAGCTATCAAGCCTTTATCCATCTTTGCTTTCCATAGACTTTGAATGTCTCCACTCTCCAGCAAGCTATCAAGCCTTTATCCATCTTTGCTTTCCATAGACTTTGAATGTGTCCACTCTCCAGCAAGCTATCAAGCCTTTATCCATCTTTGCTTTCCATAGACTTTGAATGTGTCCACTCTCCAGCAAGCTATCAAGCCTTTATCCATCTTTGCTTTCCATAGACTGAATGTCTCCACTCTCCAGCAAGCTATCAAGCCTTTATCCATCTTTGCTTTCCATAGACTTTGAATGTCTCCACTCTCCAGCAAGCTATCAAGCCTTTATCCATCTTTGCTTTCCATAGACTTCGAATGTGTCCAATCTCCAGCAAGCTATCAAGCCTGTGATTTCCACCAATTGACCAGACCAACATGAGTGCTCAGCTACCATCAGCATAACCTGTAGGGGAGAGGGGGGGGGGGGGGGTTCCAGAACACATAAGCCCCTCTACCGCATCACAGCAGAGGCTTCAGAGAGGTCATTTCTTCTTCTGTTTAGTCAATTCTGGGCATTCTTATAGGATGTGTCATGGAGTATGCTTTGCCAGGTCATGAGTGGTTTTCTTTGAAACCTATTGGTGATGTCTGCCCTGAATCCTGTTAGGAGTCTAAAGATCCTGGTCTGTAGTAACTGCACTGATGCTATCATGTTTGAGTTTGTAAAGCTCATTTTGTTTTTTCTTGCTAACTGTCAAAGCAATTTGACTTCTTTTCTTATGATCTTATTTCTAATGTTATCTCTTCTCTTCAGTCCCACAGGACTTCTCAGATTTTCAAAACAATGTTTTTCTGTAATGAATTTAAATAATGAGGACACACACAATACATTACACAATTTATATCCAGGCATATTTGGCTGCATCTCGCCAGGTGTGTTACTTCAGAGTTACATCAGTCTTGAGACCAGCCAATAGGAAAGAACCTCCTTCCTCCATAGGACTTCATTTGCTTAATTTCAGACATGTAACTGACCAAGACAGTGCTTTCTGTGTGATTTATCACACACCAGGTGACTGCTGGGAATGGCTGAAGCTTCAACAATTAAAATCAACAACCCCCTCCTTTGTAAACAGATGGAATTTATAGTAAATCTGAAGTTAACCTGGTAAGTTACGTGACTACAGTGAACTTCTGGCGACTAAACAAACCACAATGCGTCAAATGAGACTATTCAAATGTGAGTTGATTTATTCAGTTGTGTGTGCTTCATTTCATGTTGATGTAACTCTGAAATAACAAACCTGACAAGATACCGCAAAATATGCCTGGCAATAAATTGTGCAATGTATTTTTTTGTGTCCGCATTATGTAAATTTCTCAAATATCTTGATTTTAGGGTTTTTAAAGAATCACTGTAAAAGTAATTCTTCTTCCTCTTCAGCAGTCTGAGCCCTTGAGGTTCACTGCTGCATATATCACCCACCTCCTTTCATCTCTATGGTTGGCCTTCTCTTTCCAGTTGGTGACACCAAGTGTTTGCAGGTCTGTCTGGACATTATCTCTCCATCTTCTTCTTGGTCTGCCTGGTGGTCTACGACCATTAATTACATAGAAATAGCTATAAGTTACACAAGTTCAAAGTTCAGATAATCGACTTCACTGCACTAGGTTTTAATTCTATTAGGCTCTTCTCTCTCAGCAGAACAGCTTCCTGTCTGCCAAGAGCAAAACATGAAGCTCACATTCTCAGCTGCAGCGATAATCCCCAGAATTCTCAATAAATACTGCATTTTTGAACCAAAAGATATAGACCATGAAACAATCCTAGGACCACCAGAACTTGAGGCAAGCAGCTGAGCAACTGAGCCACAGAAGCTCCCACAAAAACATAATTTTTAAACTTGACAGAGATTTACCCCATGTCTGCCTCCAATTGAATTCCAGAATTTTCTTCCTGGCAAAATGTCTTTTAATACCAAAGTGTGTCCGCTGTATGACCATCTTTTGAATTCCTGCCTCCTTCAAGAAGTATGCCATTGTTGGAGAATGACCAAATGGGTCTATTGACCAAGATGTATTGGGTATAATGCCTGAAATAAACGTACAATTCAAATGTGTTAATGTGTCTTTATCAAGACAATAACAAGCCTCAAGAGACTACTATTATAACATGTGACACACTCATGACAGAAAGTACACGGTAATGACAAGAACAAACGTACTTATGACGTGAAAGGATTTTCCTAAAACTGGACTAACATCATAAGCTGCTAGTCTAAACGAAAACAATGCCCTCCCCCTCCCCCACAATAACTCAATGACAGACAGACAAATAATAGCTGACTGATAGACATAGACTGAAGGAGAACAGTAAAAATAAAACAGAAAAAAAAACGCCAAAAAATATTTTGAACAATATGCAAAGACTAGTAAAATTTTGAGAGGTAAATAACATATTAAAAATTAGAAATGTTAAATGTTATGTGCTGAAATCTGGACCATGAAAAGCAATAAGAAAGTCAAATTTAGTCTCTGGATATAGAGAAGAATAGGCTGCATTGCATGAAAACAAAATCATTTATTAAGGTTCTACAGAGATTTGAAAAAAAATTACAGTTGGTGAGAGAGAAAAAAAGAGGTGAAATATTTTGGTCAAATTTAAAAAAAAAACCAATGTTATAAAAACTAGACTGGAGGGAATAGTTGAAGACAAGCAAGAGGCAGACTAAGATACAGATTTGAGGATAATATCAAGAGATGGTTAAACAGCAGTTTCAGAGAGTGTACAACCAGGATGAGAGAACATCAAAAGTTGGATAAACAGCAGTTTCAGAGAGTGTACAACCAGGATGAGAGAATATCAAGAGATGGATAAACAGCAGTTTCAGAGAATTTATAACCAAGATGAGAGAACATCAAGAGATGGTTAAACAGCAGTTTCAGAGAGTGTACAACCAGGATGAGAGAACATCAAAAGTTGGATAAACAGCAGTTTCAAAGAGTGTACAACCAGGATGAGAGAACATCAAGAGATGGATAAACAGCAGTTTCAAAGAGTGTACAACCAGGATGAGAGAACATCAAGAGATGGATAAACAGCAGTTTCAAAGAGTGTACAACCAGGATGAGAGAAAATCAAGAGTTGGATAAACAGCAGTTTCAAAGAGTGTACAACCAGGATGAGAGAACATCAAGAGATGGATAAACAGCAGTTTTAAAGAGTGTACAATCAGGATGAGAGAACATCAAGAGATGGATAAACAGCAGTTTTAGAGAGTGTACAATCAGGATTGGAGAAGGAGAGTGTTCGAGATCCATTACAGCCAACCTTTTTTGAGGAGATGGCACCTAACTGTCTCAGTGAGGAGAACAGTGATTATATTTCAATCATCAAAGTGATGACATTAAACAGAAACCAACATTTATAGTTTATACTGTAGAAGTGGAAGAAGCTGCAATGTTAAAACATTTAACATAATATCAGTAAACAATGTTTTCCTATGGATTGACCTTGTTCAACCTGTATTTGAAAGTTATAACTAGCGTGTTTGCTGTTATTTCTTCCTTTTTCGTATGCATGAAGGTTCCGTTTGATTTTTCTTATCCTCTCACAGATGTTTTCTTCATAATTGGCTATCTATGTCTGGCAGGACTCTTAAATGTCTGCTTGTTTATTCCATCTGTAGCGTGAAGATCTATCTGATGATGCTTTGTTTGGTGTTGCCCTGCAAAACGGCCTAATCCTGACAAGGACTATGCCATCCTCTTTTGTATCTTCTTGTCCTCTGGCTTTTTTCCCAATGGCTGCAGCTGAGGGAAGGTTTTTTTGGTTTGTTCAGGATGCTCTACGTCCGAGACCCTGGCTAGGTCTGCGACTTTGATCTCATCATCTCATTATTCGACTTTTCCTGTTGCTTGCTGGATCTTTTCCATTCTTCATCCAGGGGTTGCTGTTAGTGTCTATCTTCTCCATCGTGGCATTGCACCCTATTCTGATTCTTTCGAGGTTTTCTGTGTGGTTTTTTTAAATTGAGATCTGCAATTCTTTCAGTTTAGCTATCTTCTTGTCTATATCGGTGGTAGAAGTGGCATTTTTCCACTGCATTCACCATTTCTGTAGCCTGGGATTTGTGCTGCTTCTTTGGGTTCTGTGTCAAAGTGCTTTTTTTGAGTTTTTCCACTGTCGCTGTGTTCAGCGACTTGTGCTGCTGCTCCCTTTGCTCATTTTCTGTGCTTATATTTGTGTGCCTTCCTTCTGGTTGGGTTGTGCTTCACTTAGCTGCTTTTTCAGCTCTGTGATCTCTGTTAAGAGTCATCTTCTTTGAATGGATGACCTACTTCAAACTACCCCACTCTTTCTTAAGGCTTCATTACATGGAATGTTGCTGACTATCACTGTCTTGATCATCTTCTTGCATTCCTGGATTTAGGGGCAGCTGAGGTATCTGGCTCCATAACTGCTGAAGCAGTTCGCATACTTTCTATTTGTGTTCAGCTTTCTTGGCTAGACTGTAAATAAAGTTTTCTTAAAGTAAAGATACCTTTTCACGCCTTAGGCGTATCGGGCATATGGGAAGAGCGCCCATATTTGTACAGACCATCAGCACTCGGTGGGTAATGTGGTCAGCATTACGCGGGCCATCTTTACTTCCCCAGGACAGCCATCCTGGCACCCATTTTAGGCTGGGTCGACCTGCGACACCACATACCATGATAAAAATCCACGCAGCCAGCAGTGGGTTTCGATCATGGTACGTTGGAATTACGAATCTGACTCCGAAGCCACGGGCTAGAGTGTACTGGAACAATAATGGTGTAGTTCCACTTTACTGTGACTTCTTCTGGTATGAAACGTCTTTTGAGCCCAGGAGCACTGCAGTAACTTCTGGATGTAGTGCTCTGTTTTCAGTGTCTTCTTTCTCTTGGTTTCCTTTTGATGCGACTACTATCACTGTGATCAAAGCATTGCCTCTTTGCATGATCCTCTCTGCACTCTGTATCATTAGGTCTAAGTTCTCTTTCTCTAGCTGATGTTTAATTTGGTCGTTGCTGCTGTCTGTCTTCGTTTGCTTCACAATCTGTCATCTCAGCTGCTGGAACATGCTTGCCTTCACGGTTATCTCATGCGGGAGCTGAAGTTCTTGTTTCTTGTTGTTTCAGATGTCTTTCATCAGTCTGCCTCTATTCTCATTTTTGTTGAGAACTGCCACCATACTGTCCTTCATCTAGCGGATATGCGTGACGTATCACTTTCCTAGCAGACCTTTATTCATGCTGATAATTATCAAGATTGATAGGGCTATCAGTTTAGCCTGTCCTTCAGTGTGATGGTTTCCCAGGGAAGAAATGTAGTGACTCAACTCTCAGCAAAGAAAGTTAGTGAACAGCAGTAAAAAAAAAACACCCAAAAAGTGACAAAAGTGTAAACAATAAAAATGTAAAATTGACAAACAATGAGTAAGATAGTGAATTATTAGTAATTAAAAATAAATGTGGAAACATCGGTGTACAAACATTAGTAGGCTTACATTAGTAGACATCCCTTAACAAACATCAGTAACCATTCATCAGTAACCATGCATCAGTAACCATGCATCAGTAACCATACATCAGTAACCATACATCAGTAACCATACATCAGTAACCATGCATCAGTAACCATTCATCAGTAACCATTCATCAGTAACCATACATCAGTAACCATTCATCAGTAACCATGCATCAGTAACCATACATCAGTAACCATACATCAGTAACCATACATCAGTAACCATACATCAGAACCATACATCAGAACCATACATCAGTAACCATACATCAGTAACCATACATCAGTAACCATACATCAGTAACCATACATCAGTAACCATACATCAGTAACCATACATCAGTAACCATACATCAGTAACCATTCATCAGTAACCATACATCAGTAACCATGCATCAGTAACCAAACATCAGTAACCATACATCAGTAACCATACATCAGTAACCATACATCAGTAACCATACATCAGTAACCATACATCAGTAACCATACATCAAGAAGCAAACATCAATATGCAAACACCAGTAAGCACCATGAGGCAACATAAATAAGTCAGTAAATATTGGTGAGGAAACATCAGATTGACAAATCTGATGTACACAACACCAAGTACAGACACAGTAAACAACTTTATGTACATAAATGAGTAGATAATTTTATGTACACAAGTGAGTAAACAACATTATGCATATAAGGGAGCCAAAAAAAACTTTACATACACACATGAGTAGGCAATTCTATGTACACATGTGAATAAACAACTTTATGTACACAAGTGAGTAAACACTGAGTACAGATGTGAGTAAACAACTGTATATCCACATGTGAGAAAATAACTTTATGTACATACATAGTAAAGAACTTTATGTACACAAGTAAGGAGGCAAAACTGAGTACATGAGTGAGTAAACAACATTGTCTACACAAGTGAGCAAAACAACTTTCAGTACATAAGTGAGTAAACAACTTTAGGTACAAAATTCAGCAAACAACTTTAGGTACACAAGTGAGCAAGTATCTTTAGGTACACAAGTGAGGAAACAGCACTGAGTACACAAGTGAGGAAACAACTTTAGGCACACAAGTGGGTAAACAACACTGAATACAGAGATGAGCAAACAACTTTAGGTACACAAGTGGGTAAACGCTGAATACAGAGGTGAGCAAACAACTTTATGTACACAAGTGGGTAAACAACACTGAATACAGAGATGAGCAAACATTATGTACATAAGTGGGTAAACAACACTGAATACAGAGATGAGCAAACATTATGTACACAAGTGGGTAAACGCTGAATACAGAGATGAGCAAACAACTTTATGTACACAAGTGGGTAAACAACACTGAATACAGAGATGAGCAAACATTATGTACACGTGGCGCGGTGATTTATGTCACAGGCGTGAGAGGAAGTTAAGTCCAACATGATGTGTATAAGGAGATACTCCGTACGTCACTCGGGCGCCAGTCCTTAACTATCCTGGTTGTACGGAACCTCACGCAAGACCCCTACAGCACGTCCTCGTCGTGCGCCACGGATAATGTCTCAAATGAGCATTAACAGAGCTGTCAGGGGATCTCGGAGTTCGGCGGCCCCCAGGGGTGATGTGTCCTTGTGGCTCTCATCAGCCCGCCCCCAAACGCTTGGGTGAAAAATGTTATCAAAACTCATTAGGAACATGAGTAGGTTTGCCAAACGTACAGCCAAAATTACAACCCTTGGTTAAAAGACTGCGGAGTAAAGAGAACATTGTTCACTGCACATCCTCTGTTAACCCTCAGTGTCGTCGTCACCGCGCTGAGGTACACCACAACAGCAACCATCCATAGGCTGGCCATCCTTGTACATCCTCGGTTAACCCCCAGTGTCGTCATCACCGCGCTGAGGTACACCACAACAGCAACCATCCATAGGCTGGCCACTCATGTACATCCTCGGTTAACCCTCAGTGTCGTCGACACCGCGCTGAGGTACACCACAACAGCAACCATCCTAATTGTCCGACAAAACTAGATCATACGGATCAAAATCTGACCATCAAAATTTGTATTGAACTGAAAAAGATCAAATGTCCACACCCAAAGACCCCACTCGCCCGAGTGTTGGGACAAAACTGATAACGATATGCCTGATGCAGGATGTAAAATTCTGTCGGGCTAACAGCTCGTCAAAGAAATCTAACGTGCGAGAAAAAAAAAAAGAATATACCTATCTGTGTGGTCACAAAAGTCCAAAACCCACGGGCTGCTCCCCGCTGACTTCCAGAGGGCGCAACCCCTGTCGAGCGGGAGGCCTGATACGGTTGTGAGGTTAAGCAGGCATGTGCAGGACGTGACGATTCCTTGGGTGAGCCCAGAACCAGAGCGCCATGTGCCGGCTCTGCATGCATGGAAGCCTCCTTGGATGGCAGGGAATGCCCATGATCTGCCCCTGCCTTCCCTTGAGGGCTAACTGTTCCACAGGGGGCTGCCCCAAAGGGGTACTCCGAGGGCAATACCTGCGGAGGAGACAAAGTGGACACCACACAAATCAGGCAACGTCTCGACCCACACAAAACAATGGCCACAGTCAACCTAGAAATAGGCCTGACGTCTTCCTTCGAAGTCGGAGTACAGCTGCCCATGAGGCAGGGAAATGAAAAACGGTTGTACACGCAAAAATCAGGTCCAGGTGAAAGCCAAAAGTCCAAGCGGACGATTAACCGGGACCTTCCACTGGAATTCACAGCCGGTGATCGATAAAAAAAAAAAAAAAAAATTATGTACACAAGTGGGTAAACAACACTGAATACAGAGATGAGCAAACAACTTTATGTACACAAGTGGGTAAACAACACTGAATACAGAGATGAGCAAACAACTTATGTACACAAGTGGGTAAACAACACTGAATACAGAGATGAGCAAGCAACTTTAGGTACACAAGTGGAAAAACAACACTTGAGTACAGAGGTGAGAAAACAATACTAAGTAACCCAGACAGCAAACAATAATGAGTAAACAAGACAGCAAACAATAATGAGTACATAAGAAAGCAAACAATGAGTACATAAAAGAGCAAAAAATAATGAGTACATAAGAGCAAAAAATATTGAGTACATAAGAGCAAACAATAATGAGTACATAAGAGAGCAAACAATAATGAGTACATAAGAGAGCAAACAACACTGAGTATTTATAAGGAAGCAACAACAACAAAAATACTGCATATTCAAGTGAGCAAACAATGCTAAAAACATTTTTTTTTTAAAGCAACTAACACTGAATGTACAAATGAGCACATGTGTTAACAACATGTAACCAACAGTGAGCACCTGCCTAGGTTATCAGAAACCCACAGATGGCCTTCAATCAACTGATCCAACAATGAGCTGTAATGAGCCACAGCCTCATCAGCCATCACCCAGCCACCAGTGACTATCTCCAGCTGCCCAGTAGCCACCAACCTGGTGAGAGATAAACTGACAGTAGACATCTGTGTTTTCTAGCTTGTTAATAAACTGACAGTAGACATCTGTGTTTTCCAGTTTGTTAATAAACTGACAGTAGACATCTGTGTTTTCCAGTTTGTTAATAAACTGACAGTAGACATCTGTGTTTTCCAGTTTGTTAATAAACTGACTGTAGACATCTGTGTTTTCCAGTTTGTTAATAAACTGACATTAGACATCTGTGTTTTCTAGCTTGTTAATAAACTGACAGTAGACATCTGTGTTTTCCAGCTTGTTAATAAACTAACAGTAGACATCTGTGTTTTCTAGCTTGTTAATAAACTGACTGTAGACATCTGTGTTTTCCAGCTTGTTAATAAACTGACTGTAGACATCTGTGTTTTCCAGCTTGTTAATAAACTGACTGTAGACATCTGTGTTTTCCAGCTTGTTAATAAACTGACTGTAGACATCTGTGTTTTCCAGCTTGTTAATAAACTGACTGTAGACATCTGTGTTTTCCAGCTTGTTAATAAACTGACAGTAGACATCTGTGTTTTCCAGCTTGTTAATAAACTGACAGTAGACATCTGTGTTTTCTAGCTTGTTAATAAACTAACAGTAGACATCTGTGTTTTCCAGCTTGTTAATAAACTGACTGTAGACATCTGTGTTTTCCAGCTTGTTAATAAACTGACAGTAGACATCTGTGTTTTCTAGCTTGTTAATAAACTGACTGTAGACATCTGTGTTTTCCAGCTTGCAAATAAACTGTAGACATCTGTGTTTTCCAGCTTGCAAATAAACTGGCTGTAATTTTCTTTTCATTCTCTATTTTGCCTTTCTGTGTCAGGTTAAGAGAAATGTAAAAGGAGCTATGCTATGAGCTTCATACACAATGGTGTTCAATCTAGCTATACAAATGTAGAGCTAGAAAATAAAAAGAAAAAAAAGGAAAGCCACACAAAAAAAAGGACAGATGTAAACTAATTAGAACAATTAGCTGTCATAGTCCAGATGTTCTCATGCGGGAGAAACCTGAACTCGACCCATGGTAAGGTGATGAAGTTTTTCTGTCAGAGGCAAAATTAAACATCCTAACCTGCACAGTCCGTGGCAACAGAACTAGCCAGGTGGCCCTAAATCCCCAGGCTCAAGGCCCCCCCTGTCTACACCGCCCTATAAACTGGTAAAACAGTGGGTTTTTTTCAGTCCAGATGTTTCATCATGTAATGAGATATAAACTCCAAAGCTTAGTGTCATCTGGCCAGTAGGCCAGACTTCAATTCTGTTTGGTAGCTTGTTCCTAGTCCTGCTGAATGTGTGCTGGAGCTTACAGAAAAGCCATTCAGTGAAGATGTGCTCCGAGTCAGCAGTGTCCTGTTTTTTTAAGCCAAATTTTCTAGTTATCTAATAAGCACTGTCATCGTCAAGTTTGAATTTCAGTTAGCCTTCTTTAGCTTTCAATTTGTCTTCTTCTGAGTCATCATAATATGCATATTATTACATGAATATAATATGCTTCACTGATGAAATACAACTGCTGTGTGATAGATGAAAGTTTGGAAGGGCCAAATGTAAGACAGGCCTGCGTGCCTAATTTGTAACCCTTTGAAAATAAAGTTTGTTCGTTCGTTCGTTCCCAAACCTTGAGGTTCACTACTGTAAATATCACCTGCTTCCATTCACATCTTTGATTGAACCTCTCTTTTCAGTTGGCGACTTCAAGTATTTATAAGGTTTAGATTTAGACGGCAGATCAATATCATAGCCTAAAGGTAGTAACCCATAATGCTCCGTTCTACTTCTGACTCAAGTCTGAGTTCAAAGAATTTCAGCATAGTGCACTAACTCCACAGCACCGGCGAGGATCCTTTGGGTAGATTTTTAACTCCAAATTTTGCGCAGACAGTCCCGTTAGGCTACTCTTTTTCGATTTTCAACTACCAAGGGATTTTTTTAAGGTGCGCAACAATTCACATGGGCTTCTGATCTTACTAACCAAAGACCAGGGGAAATTACTGGAAGTCCATGTGAAAAAAACTCAGCCTTCACTGGAGCTTGATCAAAGGACCTCCAGCACTCGAAGCAGATGCTATGCCATGGGACCAGGCGCCCCCGAAGTCTGCCTGAATAATATCTGTCTACAATCTTCTTGGTTCATTTCACAGTCTATTTCCATTACATTCTTCAAGTATTAAGTTTGTGTCCCTGTTATTCTTTCTTGATGTCTCAACCATTACAGCCAATTAGCTCTCATGATGTCAATAATGAGTGGTGATTTCAATAAATTATCAATTTCATTCTTGCTTCTCACTCTCCATTACCAGCTGTTTTCATCTTTAATATTTCTATCAGAGTAATCCAATAAAATCAGTGTTAGTATAAAAACGGACTCCACTGCTTCACATGCCTAGCCACGCTCCTGTATGGGGTGCAATCAATTCTGTGTTTTTTTTTAAAGTCCCTCTTCCCGGCTGTTGTTGGAGACCCTAATATAACCTAACGGTTGAACAGGGTTTCTGGGACGTGCCCCAGTGGGGTTCTCATCCAAATGGTAGCACTCTGTGTCACGGGGTGTTTATCCCTCATTGTGTGGCCCTGATAGGGCTGAACGTCACTAACTTTACATGCCTTCTGTAAGTGCCCATCAATTTCACTGAATTTACTTCTCTAAGAAATGAGTAAACACATGCCTTCTGTAAGTGCCCATCTATATTACTGAATGTACTTCTCTAAGAAATGAGTCAACACATGCCTTCTGTAAGTGCCCATCAATATCACTGAATTTACTTCTCTAAGAAATGAGTCAACACATGCCTTCTGTGAGTGTCCATCAATATCACTGAATTTACTTCTCTAAGAAATGAGTCAACATATGCCTTCTGTAAGTGCCCATCAATATCACTGAATTTACTTCTCTAAGAAATGAGTCAACATATGCCTTCTGTAAGTGTCCATCAATATCATTGAATTTACTTCTCTAAGAAATGAGTCAACATATGCCTTCTGTAAGTGTCCATCAATATTACTGAATGTACTTCTCTAAGAAATGAGTCAACATATGCCTTCTGTAAGTGTCCATCAATATCATTGAATTTACTTCTCTAAGAAATGAGTCAACATATGCCTTCTGTAAGTGCCCATCAATATCACTGAATGTACTTCTCTAAGAAATGAGTCAACATATGCCTTCTGTAAGTGTCCATCAATATCATTGAATTTACTTCTCTAAGAAATGAGTCAACACATGCCTTCTGTAAGTGCCCATCAATATCACTGAATTTACTTCTCTAAGAAATGAGTCAACATATGCCTTCTGTAAGTGCCGATCAATATCACTGAATGTACTTCTCTAAGAAATGAGTCAACATATGCCTTCTGTAAGTGTCCATCAATATCACTGAATTTACTTCTCTAAGAAATGAGTCAACATATGCCTTCTGTAAGTGTCCAACAATATCACTGAATTTACTTCTCTAAGAAATGAGTCAACATATGCCTTCTGTAAGTGTCCATCAATATCATTGAATTTACTTCTCTAAGAAATGAGTCAACATATGCCTTCTGTAAGTGTCCATCAATATCATTGAATTTACTTCTCTAAGAAATGAGTCAACATATGCCTTCTGTAAGTGTCCAACAATATCATTGAATGTACTTCTCTAAGAAATGAGTCAACATCATTCAGCCCATTGTGGCGCAGTCATTTCTGTCACAGGCATGAGGTAAAGTTGTCCAATGTTATGTGTTTAAGGAGTTACTCCGTACGTCACTCGGGCGCCAGTCCTGCACTGTTCTGGTTTTACGGAACCTCACGCAAGATTCCTGCAGCACGTCCTCGTTGTGCGCCATGGATAATGTCTCAAAAAAGCATTAACAGATCTGTCAGGGGATCTTGGAGTTTGGCGTCCCTCAGAGGTGTAGTGTCCTTGTAGCTCTCATCAGCCCGCCCCCAAAACCATGGGTGAAAAAGCTTATCAAAACTCATTAGGAACATGAGTAAAGTTTGCTTGCCAAACGTACAACTAAAATGACAACCCTTGGTTAAAAGTTTGTTGGGTGAAGAGAACATTGTTTTGCTGAGACTCAACCCTTGACCTAGAGATTTACCCGCAGCACAGACGAGTAACATTTCCTGTGGGTGACGTCTCGCTGCAAGATTCTACCCATGTACATCCTCTGTCAACTCTCAGTGTCGTCGCCACCGCACTGAGGTACACCAAGACAGCAACCATCCATCGGCTGGTTAAGCCCAAATGTCTGACAAAATAGATCCTACGGCACACGAGCAAGCTCAAAATCCGACCATCATAAATCGTATTAGTTGGAAAAAGTCCAAATGTCCACATCCCGAGACCTCACTTGCCCGAGTGTTGGGAACAAACAGATAAAGACATGCCTGACGCAGGATTCTCCATTCTGTCGTGCTAACAGTACGCTAAAGATGACAATCGTGCTATGAAAAAGATTGTACCTATTCGTGTGGTCACAAAAGTCCAGATCCCACGGGCTGCTCCCCGCTGATCTCCGGAGGGCGCGGCCCGTGTCGAGCGGGAAGTCTAATACGGTTGTGAGGTTAAGCAGTTATGTGCAGGACGTGACGATTCCTTGGGTGAGCCCAGAACCAGAGCGTTATGTGTCGGCTCTGCATTTATGAAAGCCTCCTTAGATGGCGGGAGAATGCCCATGATCTGCCCCTGCCTTCCCTCGAGGGCTAACCATTCCACACAGGGCTGCCACAAAGGGGTTACTCCGGGGGCAACACCTGTGGAGAAAGGGACAAAGAGGACACCCCACAAATAAGGTAACATCCCCCACACAAACAGTAGCCACAGTCATCCTAGAAATAGGCCTGACGTCTTCCCTCGAAGTCGGAGTACATCTGCCCTTGAGGCAGGGAACGGCAAAAGCCAGTAAAACGGTTGTACACGCAAAACTCAGGTCCAGGTAAAAGCTAAAAGTTCAAGCGGACGATTAACCAAGACCTTCCGCCGGAATTCACAGCCGGTGAACAAAGAAGAAGAAGAATTCAGCCCATTAACACAATTAGTTAACAAGAATTCTTATAAAACTAACATGCATACTTTTTCATCTGCTCCTTGTTACTGTCAGGGGAACTAAACCACTTCTCCAAGAAGGCAATCTCTGGCCATATGAATTTCCAGGAGGTGGTTGCTTCCAAGATATTTCACCATATGATCTAACACACGTCTTGTGTAACTGTTATAATAACCACTGAAGGTGTCCCTCCATCCTGAAACAGAAATGACATGCTATATGAATGACCCACTGTACTAGAGATCATCATCATCAAGTGCCTTGCCAGCTGGCGTAGGCATTCCTGCATCTTCAAAGATCTCGGTCTTCGAGTTTTGGATCAATTCCACTGATGATATACCTCCAAGCCACTGTCTCCAGCCATCCACTATTATTTCCCTTTGTCTGCCTCTGCCTCTTCTACCAGTGATCTTTCCAATTGTCACGATATTCTCCAGTACTCCTTTTCTCATCACATGACCAAAGAACTTTGTCTACTTCTCATTGTTGTATATAAGGAGAACTAGAGATGGCATTCCTACAGATGTCCCAGTGCTCTACAGCTGACATGATTAGTCCTAGGGACTAGAGATGTCATTTATAAGGTCTATGTATATACCAATGAACTAAAGCTGACATGATTTAAGTCCTAGAGATGTCCTATTTGACTAGAGATGACTTTACTAAATCCTGCATATGTCCTACCGAACTGTAGGTGTTTTATCTTGTGTTACTAGTACTTGGTAATTAACTATAGGTACAATTATTGAGTTGTATGGGTTACAATTACCTACAGATACACTACAGATATACTACCTACAGTTCGCCGTGTACAGATACACAGAAACAATCAAGTTGTATAGTGTTACAATTAACTACAGGGACAATTATCCACTTTTCTTACAGCATAAGACAATCCCGATAAACAGCAGTCTCAGAGAGTGTACAACCAGGATGAGAGAACATCAAGAGATGGATAAACAGCAGTCTCAGAGAGTGTACAACCAGGATGAGAGAACATCAAGAGATGGATAAACAGCAGTCTCAGAGAGTGTACAACCAGGATGAGAGAACATCAAGAGATGGATAAACAGCAGTCTCTTTAACATTTATGATCAATCTGATTGATTATCTTATGGTCTTGGGATTCTGATGTTGCCTTGTATATTCTTTTATGTAGGAAAATGCTTCCACCAATAACACATTAGTTCTCTGCACACACACAAATTTGTGAATAATTCTCCATTTTCATTCATTACTCCTAGTCCATGTGCTCCCTTAATTTCTGCATAACCTGTGTTATCTGATCAGCAAAATAAGGTACAATAAAAACTGCTTTGTGGAGAACGAGTTAAAAGTAACAAATGCTTTAAGGAGAATGAGGCAAAGAAACAACAGCTTCAGACAGAATTAGGTAAAATAATAACTGCCTTGCAGTAAAAGACTTACTGGCTATGCACAAATGAACAATTATTCCCTGGTAAATCAACCTTTCAGACACTTACAATAACTTATGAACAATCTCAAACAATTTTATTTTAAAAAATTATGATACAAGTTGTAGAGAACTACTGCACCTGGATCCTGGTGTGAGTGTGGTACAATGAAAACCTGAAGGGGTTTAATGTCGTAGCTGTCCACATTAATTAGTTGGATCCATCCACTGACAGTATAGACATACTGGGGGTATCTGACACTGATGGCAGACCACTCTTTCTCCATCTAGACAAGGGAGCAATTACATCATTTGTATTTTGAATGCACATGTGTATAAGTATGTTTTTTAAACACATTGTCAGTTTGTCAAGTAAGATATGATACTTCATTTAGGCTCATTAGAGTAGACAAGTCTTCGTCTTCTTCTCCTTAGTGTACACCTGCTGTAAACTCTAGCAGGAAGCTCTGGTTGTCCACTTCTGGACTTTACTCATCTTCCAGAACCTGAGCTTTTAGTACACAATACTTTTACAGATCTGGATTATTTATATGCATATTGTTGGTTACTTGACTCTCAAGCAGACATACCTAATTAGCTGACTTTTACAACATACACTGGGTCTATTCTGCCCCTCCCCCCCCCCTCCCCTCAACTACTCTTCCACCATGTGGTCCCAGAACCCACAAGAGGAATTGAACAAGTAACTAAGTTAACAAAATGTGAAAATACATTGGTGATTAAGGGCAAGAAGATCGCCTACACCGCATGAAGGCTAATCTGGTCAACAAATGTCTGCAGAAAATGGAGGTGTCGGTCAAATATCACAGCCATGCTGAAAACAGGCACAAGGTAATTACATTTTTGGATCAACACAGAAAAACAGATTAATTCGATGATTTAATTAATATCAAGAACACCTTTTTATCATTTATAGCTTTAAAAAACACAAATTTTATTGGTTTAAACTGAATTTACACAATGATTTAAAAAAACATATCCTTTTTGCGTCACATTTTCACAGCTTCTACTACACAAAGATCTTGATACAGAACCAGAGAAAGATAAAGCAACTGATGGACAGACGATATGATTGTCACACATAGTAAATATGAAGAAAAAAACAATTATGGCTAAATATCTGGCCATGAAATGAAAGTTTTGGCTTCTTGATGTAAAGTAACATAATAAGCACATGGTATGAGACCTGAATTACATAGATTACCTGGCACTCGAAAGACCATGTAACTGATTTAATGTCAGCAACCTTCGGTTCACAGGGAATTTTCTTGTAATTATTTTAGACTGAGTCATCATGGGAGCCATACGTCAATTATAAAACATTCTTTTGCATGCCCCCCCCCCCCTCTCTCCCCTTTTTCCGTGAGTTTTGGGGTTCCATTTTAGAGAACTAAGAATATTTCTCTGCTTCCTTCCACCCCCCACCCAACTAGCATATCACAGGAGTCAACTTGTTATGGGTGTTTCCTTCAAAGTCGGACTGCATCTGTAAAAGAGGCAAGAAACCAACAGTATGCATGCAACTGGATGGTGCAGAAAACTATACTTTGACATTAGGTGCAGCTCATCCCATGTCCTCCCATTCTCCAATTATCTTCCCCCTTTTTTTCCTGCTACAATTCCTTTGACCAAGTGCCTTCCAGAAAAAAACTCAAGTTACACTGTTAACAGGTTTTATCAATGTATGTCCTATCCACCTCTTGGAATTTAGTTCTCTCACGAAGTTCTGGTAATATTAAAGGAGTAATGAAAGCTGTGCAAATAACAAAAATAACAAAGCACATGCCTACCTCTATATCTACCTCTACATCTACCTCTATATCTACTACTACATCTACCTGTATTATCTACCTCTATATCAGGTCTCAGAGCCGCTGACTGCTTTAGGCATATTCCAGGCTTCAATTCCATGGTCTGATTTCTCACAGAATCATTTGGGACAAACCTCCAATATGTGCTGTCAAACACAGGGCATTCTTGTTTGTACAGTTGGATCCCTTTATCCTATTACAGAAAACATGGGGGATATACAATAAGTAATATGCTTATAACATGGAATTTAAAAAACTAACATCTTTCAGTTGTCATGTCTCCTGCATAGTAAAAAAACATGCTATGACATAGGGCTATTAGAATTTCTAATTAATAAGGAGAATATGATGACAGATGAGCAAAGTAAACACAGCACACCTCAAATAAAGTAGGTAATGCAGGCTATTTTCTTCTCAAATCAGGGACTGACGAGTTGCATTGTATTTTTATCCTGACTTAACAGTATGCCCAGCTGGCTGGTAGCTGAAGTCAAAAACAAGTCTCTGTCAATTTCATCTGAGATCTGACTTCAAATCATTACCAGTGTTGCAGGTGCCTGATTGTCAAGCTTGGTTTCAAAGATTCAGTGGACCTGCCCAAAAGTCTATGTGTGGAATTAGTGGTCACTGAGTTAGAAACTGCGGAGATGTCGGTTTTTTGACGAATGATGAGAATACCCTGGACAGATAAACAAGAGTAATAAGGATGTCTTGAAATAAACTGACTTATGAAGAGAACTGATTACCCCCATTATAAAGAGAAAATCTACATTCTTTGATCATGTGATGAGAAGGAGAAAACTTGGAGGGAAGGAGAGGCAGAGGGAGAGTGAGAGAAAAGGATGCTGGACAGTCTAACATCCTGGCATGGAGGATCATCTGTGGCAGTGTTGATTAAAAGTACATGAGACAGAAGGCTGTGCACAGACATGACTACCAACACCACACGGTATGGACTTTAAAAAAAAGAAGAAGAGTTTGAAACCAAAGGAACAACAGCACAAGCATACTGACCAGCTAAGCAAGCAGGTTTGGCCCATACGGCTAATCACAACCTCCTACAATAGGCCAATGATTATATTAACATGATTTATTTTAGGCTGAGGCTCACTGGTTGTGATTCTCTGGGTACAGCATGAGGAATAACTATGATTCTAACTAGCTTCTTCAGCTACAGTAGTGAAGTCTATCGTATGACATCAGTTTTTTCTATATTTGGTAGTGTCCATCTTTAAAGGAATAGAGTAAGAGTTATATCTGTCTTCTGCAGATATGAAATAGTGGATCTGCTATTCTGGCAAGCCAACCCATGACAAAAATCATGACAGATGAGTTCACTGATTAATGAATGCTTTCAATAAGTTGGTCAGCATTAGCTTTTTGACATAGAAGACATGACACTGAAAGGATAAATGCAAGGTAATTCTTAAAAATAAAGTGAATGGAACAACTTCACTTGGTTGGGTTTTATCCAGAGACTCGAAACAGGAACACTGGATAGACACTCATCATCACCATGTGGCTTGTCAGCTGGGGTAGGCATTCATGCGTTGCCACAGATCTAAGTCTCTGGTGTTCTGGATCAATTCTACTGATGATATTCCTCCATGCCAATGTGTGAAGCCATCCACCATCATTTCTCTTGGTCTGCCTCTGCCTCTTCTACCAGTGATCTTTCCAGTTGTCACAATATTTTCCAGAGCTCCTTTTCTCATCACAGGACCAAAGAACTCTGTTTGTCTCCTTCTCATTGATCTATATTATGTCCTAACAGTCAGAAATCACTGTCAAAGGTAGAGGTAAAAGACCCCCATGTGGATATGGAAGGCAATGGGAAACATTATTTTCCCAAGCATTCAGGAAAAGTCACAGATTTAATTAAGTGAACCACAATAATGGATGTCTTCAGAAAGCCTCATCCGGTAGGGAGTCATTAGCCACAGGTGACACCAGACTGTCATCAGACCACTGAGGGCAAAACTAACAGACTGAGAATAGGAATCTGGAATGTTTGAACAGTAGCTGAATTAGGGAAGGTAGATAATTTCTTAAAGGAAATGGAAAAGATAAAACTCAACATCCTGGAAATTAGTGAGATGAGATGGAAGGAATCAGGTAAAAAATTACTGACAAAAATACAATAATATATTCAGGTGGTGAGAAACATGAAAGAGGAGCAGGACTAGTGTTTGACGAAATAACAGGTAAATGAACTGAACGGTATTGGAGTATATCGGATAGAGTCATCCTGGTTAAACTTAAAGGCAAGCCAATACACATAAATATCATACAACTATATGCACCAACGACAGATAGCAATGAAAAAAAAACATGGAAAAGCCCTGATAATAAAACTTTCAACCAAACTGACTACATAATGATTAATAAAAGATTTAGAAATGCATTAATAAATGTGAAGACAATGCCTGTTCTGACTGTAATAGAGATCACATCCCACTTTGTGGACAAGTAAAAGTCAGATTGAAGAGAGGAAAGAAAAATATTTAAAACATGAAACTTGATAGAGATATCCTACAAGTGGATAAAGAAATTCAAGTACAATAAAGAGTGATTTTGAAAAACAAATACAATGCCATAACAAAACAAAACAAAAATCAAAGCATAAATAAACAATGGGAAATGCTAAAATATTCTGCTCAGCAAACTAGCAAAGAGCTATTACCGGAAATGAAACAAAAAGCTGAGAAGAAATGGATGACTGAAGAAATCTTGAAACTGATGGACAAGCGTAAAGAAAATAAAAATAACAAAGAAGAATATGACAAGATACGCAAAGAAATAAGAGCTAAATGTGTAAGAGCCAAAGAAAAATGGTTCAATGAGCAGTGCAACACAATTGAAATAAATTCTATTAAATATACAAAAAGTATGCACAGGCAAATCAGCAATTTGACAGCAAGAAAAATAAGAGTAAATACAGGATATCTAAAACCAAAAACAGGAAAGGTATTAATGGATGCAGATTCTGTAATAAAGAGATGGAATATAAGAATTTTATATAATGGAGAAAGAACAAATTTAACAACAGAAAGTAACCTAGAAGGGCCATCTATACTAAAAGAAGTCTCTGATGCTATCAAACATATGAAGAAAGGAAAAACAGCCAGACCAGATGAAATTACAATAGAGGAAATAGAAATACTCTGAGAATTTGGATTTGACACATTAAATAAACTGGATAGACACTGGAGTGCACAAATCCCTATTTTACCATAACTCCTATAGAGACAAAGTCCTAATCAAACACCCCCAAAGACATAAATTATGCCTCACTGGGAGAACAAAAAAATAACTAACAACCACTCTTTTAAATGAAAGAAGAATATACTTTTCTTCTCCTGCTTGTCATTTTCTGATGCAGCATCAATATCAATAAACTCATGCCAAGGCTAAAGTTTTCTATAGAATGAAGCAGCCAGTCTTTAACCAACTCTCAACCCTCTTCTTACAGACCATACAATGTGGCGTTAGTAGTCACATCTATCCATAACCTTGTCTCGTGTACTTTTAATAAATTTTGATACACATGATCTTGCATGCCATGATGTCAAACAGTCCAGCATCTTCTCTCTTGGTGTTCTAAAGCTCATATATGCATAATCACCACTTGCGAGATGAGATGTCTGACAAAAGCCACCAACTTACCGATTCAAGACAAGTGAATAATGATACTGTGAGATAGACTGTGGAAACCTTGTACTAGACTCATTGAGAAACAGCTTATCAAGCGTTTAATCATCTTGTTAGAATGCAGCAACATAAAATACCATCACAGGCCCTACATCTCAGAAGATCAGCTGCAAGAGGCTGGTCACAAAAAGATTTGGATCGACAACATGACACTTTACGCCTTCACAGCAGGACAATACCTGGTGCCAACCAATGGGCACTAGATTGCAAATTACCCCCCCCCCCCCACGACGCTTAAGAGCAGAAGTGGTTTGTGATGATGACGATGATTTACATACTTTACTGAACCACGGATGGATGGATGGATGGATGGATGGGTGGATGGGTGGATGAGGCAGCCAGTTTCACACCAACCCATTTTAGTCACCTTACAACATACATGAAGCAGGGCTTCTTTCTAGATTAATAGGTGTCGATACTCACCAAAAAGTGTCTTTAAAGAGTGTTTTTTTTTCTATACAATGGATCAATATCATGGCACATGGGTGGTAACCCATAAGTGCTCCATTCTACTTCTGAATCTGAAGAATCTCTGGACAAGGCACAAACTCTGTAGCAACGGGAAGGATCCTAAAAAACTTTGGATAGATTTTAACTCCAAAATTTGCCTGTGCAGTGCCATTAGACTTCTCTTTTCGATTTCCAACTGCAAAGGAATGTTTTTACATGCGTCCGATCTTGCTACCCAGAAACCAGGGGACGTATAGAATATACGTGAAAGAATCCCAGCCTTCACCGGGGCCAGAACCCGAGACCTCCAGCACTTGAGGCGGACGCCTTGCATCGAGACCACTCAGCCCCCTCTTTCAAAAGGTGTCAATACTCACCAAAAAGCATCTTTAAAAAGGTTTTTCATATTTACAAAAAGTGTCTTTAAAAAGGTATCAATACTCACCCAAAAAGTGTCTTTAAAAAGTGTCAATATTCACCAAAAAGTGTCTTTGAAAAGGTTTCAATACTCACCAAAAAGTGTCTTTAGAAAGTATTGATATTTATCAAAAAGTGCCTATTATAGAAACGCAGAAATAGTGATGCCTAAAAAAGAGGTGCCGGTACTGCATACCTCCAGAAGAAAGCCCTGCATGGTAGCTCACAGTGATAGCTACCATACAAGGTAGGTTTTTAGTTTTACTATTCTTTGCTAATGTCAGGCTTTGAACAAATTCCAGAAACCCTGTTCATCAAAAAGTTATTTTGGAGCATCCGAGCATTACAAAACCTCAAGTCCAAGTTTAAATGTAAAAATATTTGCTTAGTTCCAACATTACAAGCATCTAATTTGCTGGGACAGCATCATTTTTTAGTTAGGCGCAGACCGTCCCATCGATACTTATCGCCGATTTGAAATATGGGAATTTTGTTGTTGTTGAGTATAAAGGGACGATCTGGGCTGACCTATAAAATTTGTACAGTCCCGATGATATGGTCACTGCATTAAAATATGATTTGTCATAAACAAATATGGGAAACAACTAGAATGAGGAAACAAGCACGCTGAGAAACTCTAAGATGAAAACTGATGAGAGAGGCCAAAGATGCTGGACTGGACTCAATGTAATATCTTTTCTTCACATTCACTGGCTGAAAACTTTGGCAGAAAGTTTTGGTTGTTCGTCCACTTGTGGACTCTGGGCTTTGCGTGCACATCAATTTTCAAATTCTGTCTTATTTGTATGCAGACTGTCGGTTCCTTGCCTCTCCCGCAGATGCATTCAAACTTCAAAGGAACCATGCCTAATTAGATATCTTTTATGACACTTGTTAGGAGGGCGGTGGGGCAACCTTCCCCCCCCCCCCCCCCAACAATGGAGCCCCGGAACATGGGGGCGTCTATGATTTAAAACAGCATGCGCTGTATAGACCGGAAAGAAGGAATAGACTGTGAGTCCTATGTGATGAACAAATGGTACATGATGATGATGCATATCAAGCATTTATCCACAAACCTTACTAAGCCATGGATGGAAAGCTGGGCTCCTGTCATGTTTCTGTACAAACATCTTCTCTAAACTCTTGTATTCCCGCCATAAAATCACCAGATATCCAAATCCAAGCAGAACTACTATATGCCATGCTGATATCTGAATATACCTCAATTTTGGCATCACAACTCATTTAATGGGAGTCTGTTGACACTGTGGACAAGGAAGTGAGGTGCCTGGTGAGCTTACTCATGTAGTTTTAAACCATGTTTTGTGTACTAAGTAAAGGACCCTTTTCCACGCCTTTAGGTGTACTGGGCACATAGTGCTAGACCTATATCTTATAGACCGATCGGCAGTCGGTGGGTGATGTGGTCAGCATCACACCAGACACCTTTACTTCCCAGGTCTGTACCTGGCACCCACTCAAGGCTGGGTGGACCTGAGACCCAAGGTTATTTTTGAAAAAACAGTCCGGCTCCGACAGGACCTGAACCCATGACCTTCCAATCCGCAGATGAGTGACTAGCCGTTACACTACGTCAGCTCTGACTGTGTATTAAGAAATCATCAATTATTTCTGTTAAAGTATAGAGCTTTCGCTTAGTGTGTTCCCATATTATGACAACGGTTGAAGACCAATCATCATGCACTGGCAGGATGATTGTTGTGACAGCTGCAAGATGCTTGCATACTGGTCTGAAGGTCTTGACCTTTTTCTGCTGCTTCTTCTTCATCGGTTATAAACCCTGGCAGAAAGTTCTCATTGTCTGTCTATTTTTGTCTTTAATGTAGTCTTGTTCCCTAACTTAAGTTTCACACTCACATCAGTTTTTAAGCTATGGCTTATTTTTGTGCAGACTTTTTGTTCCTCATCTCTCAGGCAGATGCACTTTGACTTTGAAACACCTCCTAATTAGTAGGCTTGTAAGCAGGACATGGGTCTATTCTTTTGTTTAGTTCCACGTTAAGTCTCCCCAAACAAAGTAGGTCAGTTTCTCATTGACAAATTTGTTGGGCTGGTCTACTTTCCTGCAGGTTACGGGTGTGTCCTGCTCTCTTGTTTGGTTTCCTTGATGTCTTGCATTACTGTTTTCATTCCGAGAAAGAGAATACCTGTGACATAGGTTGCAGCACTCTCCAGGAGGGTTGCGTAAGACCCAGCGTGTCCATGTTTTTGTAGTGTTAAAAACGCTGGAGTTCTGAAATATACAACACGCAATATTAACGGCATTGCGTGCAGAACACCCCCTCGTAGCAGAGTACAAAGGTAGCGCAGCTCAGAAACGACCAATCAGAAGTGAGCTAGTGTGTAAATGGGCAGGCTCTGGGGAGACTAACCTTGGACTAGCCTATTCTTTTTTTCCCATATAATGTGTGCCCTGGAACCCACATTGGCCATGGGGGTGGAAGGGGCTTTTTGTTTAATCTACAGTCAGATTTTTATAACTGACCTCGTGCTCAAAAAAAATTTTTTTTTTTTAAGCCTAGGACAGATACTTGAAAATATTTGTATTTATAAAGTTGATATTTTGTGTGTAGAGGTCCAATTTTCTTCAGTCTGTTTTCTTTAGAATTTTGTTCAGTACTCTATAGAACCTACAGCCTCTGAGTGATAAACTAACCCAAAAACGTATCATAACGTTTAGGAAACTGAGCAAACTATAAAGTGTTATTCTCAAATTTGGATATTCACTACCTTGCGGCCTCAAAACCATGGTAAGTAAAGATTTCTTTTCTAAAATGTTGCCTTTGTAAACATAACACCTGCAGAAATTTTTTTTCCTAATAATTATAACAGAACTGAATAAAAATAATCATGAGACAAAACATACATTCATTCCTCTTTTAAAAATATTTATACTTTTATACAGATTAGAAATATATTAAATTCTCAATAAAAAATTATTTTGTCACTAACTCCTCTGCTATGTTTGAATAGGGAAATAAATTTGAGCCAAGTGTATCAAAATTCATGGGGCTGAAAGAGTAAAAATGTTAAAATGTTTTCCCATAAGTCTGTTGTTGTATGCCATACACACCCATTATGGTCATATTTTCAGAATTTTTTTTTTTTCAGTAGTTAACTTAAGGTGCTTACTAAATTAGTAATGTTATGTGAGTAATTTTTTTTTTTAAACCCACAACCAATGTAGCATTTTTTCATGCATCTCATTATTTAGAGTTCACAGAAGTTCCATTCATAAACACTATCACCTGATCACCCCCTTCTTCTTCTTCTTTATGTCCTCTTTTACCGCTTCAGGTGTCGAGGGAGATATAAGCTCCTGCTTTTTGCTCTTCTGACTGCGACTAAAGACTCATGGTGGTGCTGTAGAGTTTCTCTGATGTTATCTTCCCATCTTGTTCTTGGTCAACCTCTTCCTCTTTTGGTATATGTCTTGTATGTTATATTATCAGGAGGCATTTTCTCCAAACAATGTATATCCTTTTTTTTTAAAAATACAATCACATTTATATGGCGCATAAATTCTGATAACTATAAGTTAGATAATATCCCAAACGTTTAACACACATTACACAGTGCTCTGTTAAAATATTTACAATTCAAACTATAGAGCAAAAGCTGAACACATAATGGCTAAGTTGTTAAGCCATTTGCCTCATGGTCTGAAAATTGTAGGTTCTCTGGGAATCGCTGCTAGAGCAACAGAGGTTGTGAATCATTCTCAAAAGGTGGCTAGCCATTGTGTAGGGACAGATCGAGCCATGCGGAGTAAAACTAAGTATAATTCAGTGAATATTTGTTTACTTTACACATCTTTTAATCATTCACTTATAAAGTGCTTACTTGAAATTAGTGAGTTGATGGCCTTTTTTATATGTTAATTAGGCCTACTTTGCATATGTATTTCAGATATGCATACACAGATAGGCTTCACTGCCCTGATTGCAATGATATATTGGTGTAAGGGATTCGCAAAAAAACTAAATAGTTATTGCTTTAAAATACAAAAATTTTGTTATTTTAATCCTACATTTTACTGGGATGCAGCTCGGAATACATCTTTTGTCAACTTAAACTATAATTTGTCTATGGTGGTATCCACCACTAAAATGTTAATATCTCCCCTTAGAATTGACCTACAGGCTTTATTGACGTATCGTTGGATAACCGATGTATAAAACTTCACTAAAAACCCTACTTTTACACATAATTTCTCAAGATTATGCACTTCATTCTCCTATTTTTGTTTAACTTTCCTAATGCCTAGAGAGCCTGCCTAGATGTGGGTCTGGAACCCTGTTTCCAGTCCAGTAATAAAGTCCTAGCCATTCAATAAACATAAACCCAACAAAAACAACAGAAAAAAACATATGCCCTATTAAGAACATTTACTACATGAAAAGGAAAAATGCAAATGGCCAAATGTTTCAGCGGTGTGAGACTAGATCTACCAATACAAAAACTTGTAGTTAACTTGAATGACATATTAATTGGGACAGAAAGATATGGGAAATGACTGCTTGAGAGTGACGAGCCTTCAAAGCCCAGTAACACAATAATTTTTATTTAATTAATCTCCAAATTAACATTCTCGCTAGGCCTATGCTTGTCACTTATAAGTTATATTACACAAATCAGGGGATTTGTTAATCAACATAGAACTGGTACTATTAACCACCCCGACCAGTGGGAGGTTCTGAGCACTAATGACATGTCCGGAGTGCAGTGATGAAAACCCAATTAACTTTACTAACTAAGTTATATTATAATTATACCAGTCTGGGTTAGTGATAATAAAATGAGAGATACAGATTACTGACTGAAAGATCAGATAGCATTATTAACCCTCTTAGCACGGACGGGCCGATTATCAGCCGGCGGGTGTCTGGCCAAAAACACGGAACGGCCGATGATCGGCCCGATTGTGTTTCGCCTCGAACCGCTAAGAAATCTCCTACTTTGAAACACTGAAATTGATTCATTTATATTAACTGCTGTATCAGCTTTACACATAGCGACTTTCGAGTGTTTGGTATCGAAGTGAAAATTGTTGTTGAATTTTTTAGATAGTGACCTGAACCGCTAAAAGTATGTCTGACTCGTATGTTTCTGCCCCTAAACTTGATGTTGATAAAACATTTGAATCAAGTGATGACACTAATTCTGTTGTTACTGATGCAGGATTTAGTGTTAGTAGTAATAGTGGGAATCAGATGGGGACGCTGTTGTGTTCAGACCACAGCCCAACCATGGCTCAGGGTATATCCACCCGAAGGTGTTGACACTCCGGCACATCCATTTCTAGTGCTGACTGATGGTGAGAAACACATGTCACCTAAAGATATTATTGCTGTTTCACATATATATACCTCTTTTTGACTATTGAATTGCTTACAACATTTGTAAAAAGGCCAAAGATCAATAAAAAGATTTCAAATTTTAAAAAAATTTGTTTTTAGTTTTATGTTTCAAGCATTGAAGTTGAAAATTCAAATTCATATTTTCTTTTTTTAGATATGCAAATGAGATAATTTGCATATACATCAATTAATTTTAACGATATTGTGAAAATCACAAACTTCAATCTATATCCTTCAAATAGATATATTATTTCATAGGGGTCAGAATAACAGAAATCTGTCAAAAAAAATTAAATAAAGTAATAACCAAATTCACTGAAAAAATGCTCCGTGTTTTTGGCTAGACCTCTGAAAAACTTCCCGTGCTAAAAGGGTTAAATATATATTATAATGCATGAAGAAAAGTTAAAAGTGATTCCTTCAGTTTGATTGATCTCATAAACAAGACAAACTAATTGCAGATCTAAGGACCAACATTGGTTTACTCTCCAAGGAAGCAGAACTGGTCTTGCAGTGGATACCAGTGTGACTGGTGTATTCAAGGAAATGAGAGAGCAGATGAGTTGGCAAAAGCTGGGAGTAATCTACCACAACCTCAACCACCACACAGATACAAGGAAACCAAAACAGTGCTAAAGCAGTCTTTCAAGCGGGAGTGGAGAAGGCAGAATGGAGATTACAGACCAGAGAGTGACAGCATAAACAAACTCAACAGGAAAGAACAAACATCACTTTTTAGACTTCGGACTGGACACTGTGGTCTTCGGGCACACCTGTACAGGATAGGCATAACAGAATCGGCTCTCCTTTAAATAACGGTCGCTAGCTGAAAGGCGACGGCCCCTTAGTCGGAG